ATATATCCGTGTGACTTGGTTTTAGCATACAAAAATCGGAAGTTTGTTGAGGAGCACAATAAACGTAGAATTGATTTGAATACAAAAAAAACTGAATAATATTGAAACCAATTTGTTCAGGCTGCTGTGCGTTCTGGTTTGGAAACTTTTACTACGCTTGCATTGCTCAACGTATGGGAGAGAATTGCTGTGTAGGTTGCAGTGGATATCCGGCAGGTTGCGTTCCTGGAGGACATCTTGCGATGAGATCTGCTTTCAGAAACAGGCATGGAATTCAGGTATATATGATTTATTTTTTATAATTCATAACATCTTGATTAAGATTTTCAATAGATCTGTAATTTCATATTCTCGGGGATTGTAGTTTTTACACAAAAGGCTTACATACTTGATTTCCTTGCAAAACGGACCTGTCGCTGTCAAATTTTTTTACAGCACAGAGTCGAAATTAAAATATTACCTAACTCGGAGTCGGATACCATAAACTCGATGACGGGAGTCGGATCCGATTGTTATTTCCCCCTACTTTGCAGTCTTCAGCTAGAGTAGTTTTTTCGCGATGGGGGGTCAAATTTGGTTCCAAATTTGATCGATATTTTGTTTTAACATAAGTTAAGGTCAAAAAAGGTTTTAACGCGACCCCCATTGGGCCTTTTAGCGACCCATTGAGGGGTCGGCACTCCCAGTTTGATGAGTCCTGGAATAGAAGATTTTTGTTCCTTATCTTAATCAGATCATGAAAACTTTAGGAAAATTTTCAGGTTATGATCCTGCGGTATTCAAAAGTTCACATTTCACACATTTTTGTTTTGACACGTTTTGTCTTTCAAGTCTTCTTAGAATTTGGAGAAATATATCATGGAAATGCTCTACATTTGTCTACAACACTACAACAAAACATTAAAATAAAATCCTTTTCCCACGTTTTTCACAGGGTGACATTTGTAGCGATTGTTGCATCCACTGGTGCTGTTTACCTTGCTCGATGTGTCAGCTATCAAGACAAATGGATCATCTCGGTTATCCTAATGGAGCCTGTTAGATGATGCCTTCATCAAGTTCATGACATTTCTTTAAAGCTCAGCTATCATTTTATGTTAAAAATATTAGTTTCGTAGTTTCTATGATGGATTGCTTATGCTAAACGTGTTTTTCTAAAATGATATGCTCCAGATAAATATTATAAAATTGGGTACACCTGTAGTATGCAAACCAAGATGGCGGTCATCGGAACGTAGTATGTGTACCAGGTTAGGGTTGAGCCATAATTTTATTCCAATTGTCCTTATTTTAGTTCTATCCAAGTGACTCCCGTAGTATTTGTAACTGAAATTACGGCCTAACCCTAACCTGGTACACGCACTACGTTCCGGTGTCCGCCATCTTGGTTCGCATACTACAGTAGTACCTGAAATTGTACCTAAATGCTGTTCACGTTTTCTATGTAAATTTTGTATTTAATTCGTACTTTACATTCTTTTAATTATTTCTTAATTTTGGTGAAGTATGTGATAGACTAACAATTGATAAAATGCTTATGATGTAGAAGTAAAAACATTTCACGCATGAATAAGCTTTATGTAAAAAATTGATGCTAATACAAAATATGGTTTAAAAAATAATTTTGAATTTATCATGACAAGGCGATAATTCACTTTACAATCTATAGCTTAAAATAAATATATATTGCTTATATGCTGGGTTGTTCTTGAAACTTTATCTTTTTTTCAGATTGTTACAAATAGAAGCAGAAAAGTCATTTACTTTTTACATCCTTGCGATGGCATTTTTAACATATTATCAAAGGACTTTTGTCGAATTTGGGGTAACAAATTTAACGTTGTGGGTGACTGTAAATGTGCGTGTATTCCGCTACCTAGCATGCTGTTTCGAATGACGTATCTAGCTGTTGTTTGTTGCGCAAACTATCAGTTGGCGAAAAGTTCATCAATCTCATAAAATATTTAAAAGGAATCTGTGCGATGGGGATGTTTTTTAAGGCTTTTATAAATGCCGTAGGGCCCTTCAATGGTCCGAAACTGACTGCTTTTTGTTGTTTCGGTTGTTTAGGTATTGCGTGCAAGAGTAAGATCCATTGTTTCGCCTGATATAGTTTCCAAATGAGCCCGGTTTTGCTATTCTTGGACTCCGTGCACCGCTGTCCACGTGATTTAATTTCAGAATGCCGTTCGCTCTTCTTGGTCTGACTGCCGCAAAGGTAGGGCGCGTTTCGTTGTTCTGTTTTCTATCTGTTTCAATTCGTGCATTTCTACTGAGCAATAAAGTTGCTCGCGTGCGTCATCATATTATCGAACCTAATGTGTGGCTTTGTAACACACAGCAGCTTCTTCGGGTTACTAGATATGACGAGCATACCTATTCATAAAACCGCACCACTGAAGATGCATTCAATGAAGTTACAAATGACCGTGTTTCCAGCCGTAAACTTTTATTGCAGAGCTGTATGCCTAACTTATCAGAATCTTGTCGAGGAAGTCATTGGTTTGAATTCGAGAGCTCTAGCATGCGGTGCCAGAATATTTAGGCCAGGCGAGCTAGCATACGACTATGCCTTCGTTCCAATGCTGAGTCTATGGTCTATGCCAGGGTGGTCCAAGGTTGTCGGCTACGCGGGCCACAAAATTATTTTTGCATTGTTCGCGGGCCAGAAATAGATGAACAGTGCAATACAAAGCAAACACTTTTATTGTGCAAACACATAGTTATCAGACATAGCCAGTGGCGTAGCAAGAATTCCCCCCCCCCCCGCAAAAATATTTCGTGGAAATGACCCTAAAAACTCTCGGACATGAGCTAAAACAACGTTTTTTTATTTCGTTAAAAAGCATAATATGTGGCTATATAAAGGCTATGGTAACCTAAAATTTTTCTTCGTTTCTGTGCGCCATTAAGAGGCTTTGCTTTCTACATCATTCTGACAGCTTTCGTAATTGTGCCGGTACGATCAAACCTCACGACGCCAAAAATCGACGACTCCGGCATTGTTACGTAACAATACGATTTGAGCAGAACTAAAATCAACTTTATAGTTAGATGTGCATTCCTGGTTTTGCGGCTTAAATTCTAACTGCTTGGGGCCCCTTTGCGTTGTGGGCCCCGCGACCGCGAGTGTTGCGGGGGTGGATGCTACGCCACTGAACATAGCCATCCCAGGCTAATAGAATCCGCATTCGATTTTTAGTTTTCTATGATGCCTATATTGTTAGCATATTTTCCCGAACAAAAAAATTGAAAGCCAGATCATAATTTAGACTGCCAAGCACATCATTCAACTTCGCTAGTTGCCTCAGCTAGCAACACGAAAAAAAAAAAACGAATTGCGATTTTGTGATTGCTCTCCGAATGTGACGTGGGCCACAGATAATAAAGCGGGCCTGGGTTTGGACCACTCTGGTCTATGCTGACTGATCATGAACTGCTGACCCGCGCAAAGCAATCAACGGACGAAAGTGAAATGAATTCTCATTATCCCCAAGGTAAAATGAACAATTCCTAATTACGACTCATTATTAAACATTGTCCGCTAGTATTAAGAGTTTGATGCTTCAATAATATAAGATAAAACATGCTGAGCATTCTCCAGTACAAGATTAAGCCATTTTACATGCAATAATTTATTTACATTTAAAAATAAATCGAACTACAAACTTGTCCATCTATTGTTGAAATCAATAGTAGAGAAATTTACAGTATAAAAATGAGACAAAATTTAAAGTAAATTCCACACAAATCTAACAAAACAAAAAAAGCCAACCCGTGACATGAAATTGTGAACGTGCAAAAGGGGGTTTTGTGCCGTCATAATATTTTGATGTCGTAGTGACCATCTCGGTATCTCAATGAATATGGAACATCGTATACTTTATAACACAATTATATCTTTTTTACCACCATCTCATAAATTAATCGAAATTACCATCACGTTATGACCACAGATATCTTTCGGTGTATAGCGTGTAACTGAAACGCTTTTTCTATGTGTTCATTTGGTACTCCCGAAGTATGTGTACCAGGTTGGGGTTAGGTCATAATTTCAGGTACAAATACTACGGGAGTCACTTGGCTAGTCTCCGAACTCGTAATAGAACTAAAATAAGTAAAAAAGGTAAAATGGAATGCAATTATGGCCTAACCCTAACTTGGTACACATACTACGTTCCAGTGTCCGCCATATTGGTGAACATACTTCGGAAGTACCGTTCATTGTATTTGTACTTGCAAACGACCATAGACTTATTTAGGCAAAATATTCGGCTATATATTATCTGAAATTTTCATTCATATGATATAAACATTTTCGAAATTGGAGAATCAATGAGTTCAACCTTTATAATGAGAAAAAATAGAATAATATAACGTATACACACCGTCGTCTGCGATCAAATAGTTCATAAAACGGTGAAGAAGTGATATCTGTACCAGTGGTTCCCAAATTTTTAAGCCGCGCCCCCTTTTTAGAATTTCTCAAGTCTCGCGCACCACCTCAAAAATAACCAGCTAACAATAGGCTGCAAATAACAGATAGTAAGGCGAAGGTATGTTTTATCCAAAAAAAAACACGTTGAAAATGCGTGGATGGAAAGTATATAATGAAAAGTTTGAAATGGAAATATACAACGAATAAGGCGGGCAAGATCAAATCTAACAATTATTTTTAGTTTCAATTAGCTTCACGCCACCTCAAAAAATTGTGTACGCTCCCTTTGTGGGACGCGCCCCGCCGTTTGAAACCACTGATCTATACTATGCTACAGGTTACTTGTATGAAGTAAAATAAGGATACAAAACCGACCAGCGGTTCAAAATGAGTTTTCGTCATGGGTCATGCTAGTAATTATTATTCAAATACAATATTTCCGTTTCAATATCTTCAATACAATATCTTTGTCATCAAGTAAGACCAATAACAAATAAACGAAACTTTGAAAAAACAAACCAATATATAAAGGCTTAGTGAATAATAATTAACTCTATCTCACATGATTGTCGATAGAATGTTGTTTATGGTAGATAATATTCAAAAAATTGCAAAGAATTAAAGTTTTGACATGAGGCAGTGATTTCAAACAAAGTAAATTTGAAGCGATATGAATGAAATATTATTCAGAATAAAAAAAGCCCACGACAGAAAATCCTAATTCGCTTTAAAGTTTGAAGTGAATTTTCTACATCAGCTTACCCTCGCATATTATAGCAAAAATCACACAAAAAGATCTGGCCAGTGAAGTCGGTCATCATATGAATCACCTCATTTGTGATCATTGAATTTTTTGTATGTTGAGTTTCACTTAAATATTCTACCAGTGACAATTTATGTACCAATCATTTGAAATTTATGTCCTTACCAGCGAACACTAATGCAATCTCATGAAATTACACTTCCATGCACACTGGTCGGTCACTCAAATCAAAGGAAAAGGTGTGGTTGTGTGTAGATGTAAAAAGTACATATGATGAAGTTAATAATGTACATAGCTGTTTTCAGTTAAACTAATTTTCCACTCAACTATCCGACTAAGATATTGACAAAGCAGTCAGGATTGTCAGAATACAGCTTAGTATGGATACGTAGGTGACTGAGGCTTCGTTTTCCCCGCATTCGTCTGCCTGCGTAGGTCCTTGTCCGCTTCCAACATTTGACACTTCCATCACAACATCTGATGTTATACGAGGCCAGAAAAGTTCACGAGTTTGTGCCACGGTTGCGCTGTATGAATAAAATATTATATAATCAGGCATGTGCATATGTTACTATTTTAATAGTTGTATTGAAAACATTTATCAGGCAGTCAAAATAAGCTCAGTTGTTTTGATGTAAAAATATGCAAACGGGTTAGAAAAGTAGACATAAAATGGTAGTCTGTTTGGATCAAGTTGTTACATCATGGTATCAGGCCTTAGTTATTACGGGTCATGCCACAGAATTATGCGGCGCTTATTTGGGAATGATAACAAACAATGATTAAAATTTGGAAAACAAAAGTTACTCAATTAAGATACATTAAAAATATTTTAATATTGACATTTGGATACTAGAGCAAGAGAGCTCATCTATTTCAGTTTAAACGGCGCTCCGGAAGTATGTGTACCAATATAGAGGTAACTAATTTTGTTCGCCTACTTTACATCAAGTTGTGTACGGGGACTGATACACATACCACGGAAGTACCTTTAAACTTGTGTACAGTTAACTTATGAATTTAGAGGTATGGTTATTTTCTAACCTAGGCTATGTAAAATCAAACATAACAATGACAACAGGGTATAGTACCAAGTTTCTAACTAGTTGATCATTGACCCCTAATATGGCACTCATTCTATACATTACCGATTGATACAAACCATCGTTAAATAGCGATACAATGGGTCGGTTTATTAGTAAAATATAGCGAAATGCTCTTAAAAATAGCAATTTAATTTCTTTAATCCTTGTTTTGAGCACGAATAGAAAGTTAGAACTGCTGAACTTACATGAAAACTACATTTCCAATGTCTCTGTCACACGGTGCTCTCCATTCAAACACAGTCGTTTCATTTTTCACGTTTATGACCTCACTATGAGTAACTGCGTCATTACGGTTGTTACATCTGATAAGTTTCGTAAACTGAGGTGGATTCATCCACGATCCTTGAGTTCCATTACTGAATGAATCATTGAGTCGAGCTTGTAGAAGTATTCCGCGATATCCATTTAGGGTCGTTCGATTGTCAGAAATGTGAACTACAAATTTAATAAACATGATTTACGAGGTCATTTCAATTGAAGCAATGATGAAAGGCAATTCTGCATTCAAAAAGCGCTTTACTGAAAATAAACAGCTCTATGGATGGTCTACTTACCGGTTTTTTAATCCGCTTTTTTTCCAAACCGAAAAAAATTTGGGTAACATCCCCAACATTGGGAGGTGTATACATCTTACTATCAACGAGTTGGCTTCGTCAATATTTTTGAACTATTTTTGGAATAACTGATTATATGAGGCTGATACCACCAATGTAACTATTTTTCAGCATCGATTCAAAACACGAATATTGCATAAAATTCTTTCATTGTAATGGAATTCTCAACGGCGATATTTTTAGATTCAAAATGCTATGGTGTTCGAAGCATAAACATTTTAGTTTTTCAGCGTGACGTTTTTTTGTGATTTAAAAACCGCGCAATTAGCGTTCATTTCCAGAAATTAAATCACACATTGACGCAATTAAAATTGCCTGCAGTTTCTGGGATGACAAGCCAAAATTTTGTCGTAAAATATGCGCGTCGTGTCTTCCACATCGAGCTGTGAAATAACGCTTTGCATCTACTCTCACAAATTAGAGTTTAAAGACTTCTAAATATCAGTTTGACTTACCTCTGATTACTGTATTTCTGGTGAAATTGGTCCTTGATACAACAATAGAATACGGAGAGGCAACCAGACTTTGTGAACTGAGAAATCCGCCACTTTGTCTATTGACATGACGTGGCATGAAAGTTGAACACGCGCTGGTTGGAGCTCCATTGGGTAAGGCTTTGGCGTGGTGTACAACCAACGTGACGTAAACGAAAATTAGGTATTCAGCATACATTGTTTGAAGAGTTTTGAATATGGATAATAATATCTAATAAAAAATTTATAGCTAGTAATTGTTAGTCAAAATCCCGACTCGGAGTTAGCTACCTTTGTTGTCCTTAGAACTAGAAGCACCCTCGCTCTTTACGCAAATTTAGCAGACAATGAGAAAAACAAGACTCCTCGGCGTCGCAAGTGGGAAACAAGGGCGGTCTCAGGACACTGTAACCTATGCGGTCGCAGTGAGTCCCGCACTATCTCTAATTGATACACTGCTGTCCCAATCTGTTTTATTGCACTCGTGATATTTTTTCAGCAATGTCTGTATATCTGGCATTCGGTAAAAGTAGATTCTCTCACCTCAAACTATTCAAGAATTACTAGAGATCAACAATTCACGCAGATTGATTGAACAACTTGAAAACAGGTCGCTAAACTCTAATCAGTAAATCCTCCCTCGGCGAGAGAGTTGTATCGAACTAACCGCAATGTTTCTCATCCTACTAAACCACAGAAGACGAAATGACCTAATACATTGGAATTCAACACATTATCAAGTTATAAATCACAAATCATAACAAATACTTGCTTTGTCTGTATATAAAGACAACACAACACCGAATGTCGTGTTTTATTGTCTTAAGAACCTGTGACACATAAATCACTAAGATTCGGTATCTTCATGGGGTAAAATAACATCCTTCCCACTTTTGTTGACTCAAGTTTGGGCATGATGAATTTGAAATATTCCTGAATTTACTTTCCCCTCTAACAAGTTTTCACTAGTTGTTTCGATAAGAGAGTGGTTCTGAAAACCTCGGAAAATTTATGACGTAAATGACCACTTTTTCGCCCTCACTAAGTACACTTTTGCGGAGATGTTGCTTCGCACACTGTCACGAAAAAGGACAAGTTTCGTGTCATCATTATAACTTGCATCGCATTTATTGCGAATATTTCGAAATCTGATTTCTCAAATTCATCAGGGAGAAAAGAAATTCTAAATAAGATGTCGAAACACCGCCACACTTAGGTTACAAAATCAGACACATGATTAGCTAAGGTAGCTAGCTATTCAATGGTAGAGCCCATGATTTCAGAATCTTATTATAATTTAAAACTTTTTTATCAATAATAGGAAGAAAAGAGTCGTATGTCGTTGCATTGGAAAAAATTATCTTCAATTAAACAAAGTATTGGGTAATTGAACTGGATCCTTGGTGAAAATACCTATTCCCGTATATATATTATGTGAACCAGGTACGGCCATAATTTTAGGTACAAATTGTGGCCCAACCCTAACCTGGTACACATACTGCGTTCCGGTGTCCGCCATCTTGGTTCACATACTTCGGGAGCACCAAAAAAAAAAGGCGGCTAAATTTTCGTCTGAACCATCCCGAACAATTTAATGCAGTTTAAAGTGCCCAAGTCCTAACCACACCGACGGTAAAAAAAAAGCACGAGCGTCCATATTCGAATACCTCAGTGTTCTAGGATTCCAAGTAATTTTGAATATACCGAGTAGACTCGTTTTGCTGAAAATCATTCGGTAAATGCCGGAACCACTTTGGTATGCGATCTCATAAATGTAGGCTGTGGAACGTTATCTCAACTGTGGTGCCACGTTGGTACGCGTTTAACCCCAAAAAGACATTTTCATCGAATTTAGTTTCTAACCCTAATATGGTTGTGTTATGTTAACACTAAAATCACTGTGATCGCACATGGTTCTTTTTAGTGACATTTCTGAGAACAAGATTTGTGTGTGTGCTTGGCAGAAACGCTCGAGTTTTTTTCATCATTTATGAACAACTACCTCAGCGATCATGTAGATTTTCCACATTCAATACGCGATTATGGTTTTATAGATGAAGAACACCATTAGAAAAATTGCATCTTATAATTTCTGTCTAAATAAATAAAACAATAACAACTACAAACAATATTTAACAACCAACTAAAAACTACTTTGCAAATGTGTAACTCAAATCCACCCAGATCACTGGCATTGGAATTTGAAACACCAATATTGGATCGGGTTAATATCTTCTGAAATTAGTGTAACAAATATTACATGGGTCTTTGAAAAAAGCGGAGTCACTTGTGTTTTGTTGTTCAAGTTGCCAAAAAGTGAACTGGATCTCTTATGCCCAGTCATTAAATCCTTGCAAATGTTACTCCATTTTGTTGAATAACAATAGGTGTTAGCTTGAGAAAATGTCTGTGTAAGCGAAATGTATTAAAACAACATCATTAAAATTTCTACTTTGTAACAAATCACTGCATAGTATTGGGACCAATGAATAGAAAACTTGGCCATTCTGAAGATTCCTGCAAAACAGCTTCAAATTGAGGGCAGCTTATCAACACATTATCAGTGACCTATACTCAACAACATGCATACAACACTATTACCGCAAAGCTTCGATATATGAGAGCTACAAAGTAAAATGAGAAATTCATAATAAATGGGATAGGAGAGTAGAACAGCTAATACTAAACCATCTATTGCTACGACGAGGTCAATAATATAAAATATAAAACAAAATATACAGTAAACTTTTCTGGTTACCAGTCCAAGATTCTGATCCCTACAAAATGGGGTGTTCCCGTATTATTTGTACCAATATGGCGCACAACCTGAACCTAGTGTGTGTACCAGGTTAGGGTTAGCAGGTTGTGCGCCATCTTTGTATGAATAGCCCAAAATGGCAGCTCCCTACATATTTTTAGATTTCTGCGCTTTCTTGTCCAGTGCTTTGTTTGGCATATGAGGGTGAATGAGTCGCGCTGTATAAAAAATATGGTATAAATTGGCCATTTCAATGCATTGTAACCATAAAGATAGATGGTATTGAACAAATTGGTATATTGTGTGTGAAATTGAGACAATCGGTCAAGTTATCCATTTAGCAGCTATGGAAGCAGCCAGCAACATGGCACCATAAATGACAGTAGAAGCAGTTTCAAATAGTAACTTAGGAGCAAACACACTCCACACAAATTGATGATATCTCATGGCTGTGATAAGAATGAGATAAAACGCAGCTGGTGTGATACGAAGAAATGCAAACGTAGAGAATACAGCTAACAACGCCGGTCTAGAATATTGCTTCGAAGTGGAATCTGTAGATTAAAAAAAACAAAGATACAGATTAAAATATATCTTAGAGATTAACTACTAAACGCTGAAACTTGTAATGAGCGAAAAAAAGGATACTCCCGTAGTGTGTGTACCAGGTTAGGGTCGGGCCATATTTTTATTTCGATTTTCCTTATTTTAGTTCTATTGCAAGTTCGAGGACTGTCTGTGTTAGCCAAGTGAATATACCTCCTGCCCATAGGTTTTAGTCCATTTACACAACTTGATGTGAAGTAGGAGAACAAAATTAGTTACCTCCAGATTGGTACACACACTTCTGGAGCGTCACAAAAAGCATATACCATATTTTATGGACCATAATGCGCACATTAAATTCTTTTTTCTAAAAATGTATCATGTGCCTTATTAGCCGGTTCCTAATGTACACTGATACACTGCCTACACACCATTACAGGTACTATTGTTATAGAAACAAGTCTCTGCTTTACCTTTTCTTTGAATAAAATAGGATAATCATGAAAAATAATTTTTTGTCAATGAGCTTTGTACAGTTACTGGATGATCCTTTAAAAACCATTCGGTCATACAGCCTGGTGCATCTTACCGGCGGTATGTATCGACAAAACCCCAATTCACGCAGTTTATTGACGTTGCGCCTTATGGCCATTGTTCCCCGCCACAAAAGGGGGTTTTGAACGTTTGGTGGTAAGCGGCCAGAGTAAAAAACACAAAAGTTGTACGTGGCCAGTAAAAGATTGAGAACCACTGCCTGAGTAATAGAGGCATCAGGCAAAACGGAGAAGGATTTGCCACGACGACAAGAGTATTAAAACATTATGCATTTTTACCCATGAAAGCGCCTCCAAACATTAACTGTCTGAGGCATTAAAAATCATATTATCAACAGTCTATTTATTATATCCAGTAATTGATACATACTTTGTAAAGTGACGTCTACGCTGTCCGCTAGACAAAGCATTGTCCAAGTCATTGGTCCAATATAAGTAGTAAATATAATCAAGCATCTAACAATTGAGTCTTCCAGTGTTCCAGTATGATGTGACATTCCAACAAAACCAGAGGAGACATCTATAGAAGCTAGACTGTTGGAATTACCCTGGTTTAAAATAAATAAAATTGAAAATAAAAAAAAAGAGGAAAGAAAGTGAGAGGGTTATTCTCAGTGTTGGGGTTTATGGAGTTCGGAGGGACTTAGGATTTACATATTTATTCTGGGGAAGAGGAAATTTGATAAGACGGCTTAATCATATGGCAAACCACGGCCTCTTGTCCGGTTACCAGTCCAGGTCGGGTATGGGATTAGTTAGCCAGTTATTTGTTTTCAGAGACATGGACATTATGGTGGAGGAAGCCGTAACCGACCAGCGGTTACGTGAACCACCCTATGGCGGCGAGGAGTCCAGCAATCCTCTCGCACATGACCATCCCCGCATGGGATTCGAACCTGCATTCCCACGATGGGTAATCAGAGATGCGGTGGCGAGCGTATTCCTAACGCTTAGCACGATGCGCCACACCATTCTTGTTCTTGGAATATTGTGATAATCAACAAACCCGTTCTAGTTTTAGATATTAGAGGACTGCAACAAATGGGTAACGTTTACCCCAGATAACACAAAGCGTTGTTATTGGCATTTGAGTCAAAGTTGAAATTACAAATTCCTCAGAGTCTGAAATAATGTCATAATATTGGGAATTGTACTCAAATTAAACCAAAAGTACCTTCTAACATCAAAATGAGGTTCAATATTCGGCACTCCAGAAGTATGTGTATCAATATGGATATAACTAATTTGTTCGCCTACTTTACTTAAAGTTGTGTAAAGGGACGAAAGCCTATGGGCAGCCTGGTAACACATACTGCGAGAGTACCCAATATTCTATGTTTACTATATAGATAAACCTCGATTTATCGCTTCGACTGTGTTTAGGACACATGAATTGATGGCTTTTTAGAACAGTTCTGATATGCTATTCCACTTCGCCCTGAGTGTAATCCATTGCGTCTGCAGCTGCCGCAAAACCATGGCGGTATTTCCATACCATACCAATGGTGACTGAGTTTGTAGCTGCCACAAACCAATGACAAGCTGCCGTTACTGCGGCAGCAAATTGAAAACCAATGGCAGGTAAAATTTTGCTGCCGTAACTACGGCAGGTGGGCTAAAAAGAAAGGGCTGTCCCTTATGGTGACGAATATTGGGTAAGTTGGAACGTTTTTCTTATGGATACAGTTTTGATGAATGTGGGGGTAGGGTTAGGGTTTAAGTAGATATAATTCCGCATGATCAGTTAAAATCTGGTACGTTATTTGTGAATATACCGTTAATACTGATTACTGAATACTAAATAGCGCTATAAAACCATGGCAAGAGCTGCCGCGGTTCGTTCGTGGCAGGAGCTGCCATGAAGTGGTAAGAACTGCGCCTCGAAGACAATGTGAAAAAAGGCTGTGCAAAAAAGTTACTTACAAAACTGAAATAGGACATTTGTCCAAACCAGTAACACAGTGTAGTCCTGAGGACAATTTTCCCAATTTGTAAATTTGAATAAGTAGAATCCTCCTCCACGATTGGCCAGAGCAGACGAAAAACTGACCAATACAAATAGAGGTTGATGACTAATGCCCAAACGTTGTGGGGACGTAAAAGCAAACAACTCAACAATATGACTGATGAAATGATGTAGTCCATTGTTTTAGTCCCTGAGAAATTAAAAAAGGTTCAACAATCAAATTGTAATAGCAAATGCAGGCAGAACTGGCACAAAGTCAATGATATAGTTTAGTCCAGGGCTACTCAACTATTTTTATCGAAGGTCCGCAAACAAAACTTCAAAATTATTTGGGTCTGGTCTTTCTAGAAATGATATTTCGGCATCCTTAAACGAGCACTTCCTCGACCGACTAATGATTAGTAGCAAATTAAAAGTGTTTATTATGGTGATATAGTTCTTTTCGTATACATTAAAAACTATGAAAGTCATTTTATTATAGGAAATTCAAAAAGTGGGGCTAATGATCTAAAATAAAGAATTAGGTGCGGTCCAAATCCAATACTCGAAAGGTCCGGATTCGAACCGCGGTCCGCCAGTTGAGTAGCCCTGGTTTAATCAATGTTTGGAATTTCAATATAGACAAACTTCATCAGGGCAATAATATAGAACAGGGGTATGCAACCTGCGACTCGCGGGCAAAATGTGCCCACAAGGAAAAATTGCGAGGCCCACGAAATGAGTTTTCAATTTAGTTTAATCTGGTACGCGCGAGTAATTCCTAGCCTGTACCCGAGTCAAATTTTTTATCTATGTTCATGACGTTACAATGACCTAACAGCTAGCTCGGGTGAATCGACCAGCCTATGTCATAAGATCAATAATCAAAATTTTTGTGCTTGCAAACACCAGAGAGAGCCTATGTCAAATAAAGGTGCGGCCTTCAGTTTTACCCAGTTATTTTTATATGGCCCTTCTGTATTATAGGTTGCACACCCCTGATATAGAACATAAAAGCATATACAATGATACCTCGGTTTTCAACGCAATTCGTTCAGGATCGGTGTTCGACTGATGATTTGTTGGAAAAAGAAATTATTGTGAAATACGAGAATGCTGTTGGAGTGTATAATTTAGCGTTACAGTATGGCATGGCAAAGTCTATCATTTCCATGTTTTTGAAAAATAAAAAGTCATGAATATTTTGGAAAGCGTAAGATTGTATAAAGATACTTACCATCGTTTTCTCTAGCAAAAAAGCTTCACTACTCAAACACCAATCATGAATGAATTATGTTCGACTAGTAAAAGGTATCACTGTATATATTATTCCAATTTGGCAATGCCAGTCTTTTGCTTATGAGTAAATCAATGAAGATTAGGATTCAATATCAAAGAATTAGTAGTATAAGCCGAGTTCTAAATAGAGCTTCTTCTATTTATTAAACATATCATAAAAATTTCTCCACTCACCAGATATCTTTCTTGATTTCAAAAATATTCCTCTTCCAAGAACTAACACAACTGATAGGTAAGACAGCAAAGCCGGTAACAAGCCACTGAAAACAGGAAATATACCAGGTTTAACAAAATAATTATTCACCGTACTACACCATATAATTCTTAAGTGTAAGTCGCATTCAACGGAGTTCTCTCACAATTCCGGCTACGAATACTCCCAAGTCATTATACTGATATAAACTATACGAAGCCAAAGTGTTTTAAGAATCTGTGATGATAAAATCTCAAATCTCAAAAAAAAAAGTCATGATATAGTGAACCACCGTTTTTTGTCTAGTACGAGTCCATGTCGGATATACGAATAAAACACCAGGTAATCATTTCAGACGCATGGTATTGGATGGCAATGAAACAGTTACGTTGGCCTTGCAACTGTGACAGAGAAAGTAAGTAGCAATCCATCCTATCACACATGATTATCAAGCGCAGGATTCGAACCCATAATACGAAATGCAGCGCAACGAGCTTAATTATTAGCCATGTCCATTTACATTAATTAGACAGGAAAATAATTCAACAAAATTTATTATATCATGTATGAAACACTGCTCCTCCCAGCAGAGAATCACCACTGAGATAACAAGAAGCATTTCAAATAATCTTTGCCTGCGTTACGCCTGCTATGTTTATATATTGAAACATTCAGGGAAAAACAAGCAATGAAGAATACCAGGAATATTTTATCATGAACTGAAAAAAATAATTGTTGGCATCGCATTACCCCCCAGGGGAGTGTTGAAATCCCATATCCACTACCTCACTCAGGGTGTAGTAAATTGAACAAGCTATGACGACTATGAAAGATTCCGGTTCTTTCTAACTCCCTTACACATCGTTAGATAACAGCGGATGCTTGAATAGAACCTTTTTTAAAGTCGAGAGGTTGGAATTCAAATTACAAAAGTGCGGTTGAAATTTATATTTTCTTGCCTACGGTGTAGTATACTACACTAAAGTATACGTAACCATTCAGTACCTTTATTTTGTTATGTGACGCTCATTCATGCTTTTCGCTCTAAACAAAGCCTGTATAAGTACTGATATCTAAAATGTATAAGGAGCTACTATTCATGGGAAAGACTAGAATCTTTTAGATTCGGAATTGCCCTGGGCAAGGTGGTGAACAAAAACAATGTTATTTCCACTTTTAACAAATACTGGTATCTTTTGAAGACAAAATCTGAACACTAAGTTACCCACATAGCGTGGTCTCCATTTGATATTTCTTCACCCCTCAATGCCCGCATCACAGCGCTTCTGTACCAGAACACACAACCGAGTCCAACCCACACCACACCCCTTCTCCAGATATCTTTTCCATTCGTTATCATCTCTAGTAGAAGGGCGATACTGATAAGACTGATTAAGTGGGTCAGCCCCAGTATTGGGCTGTTATCAGGCCTGTTGAGCCAATCACCTGGAATACAACAATACGGTGATGAAGTTGAATTTGGGCAAAATGAATGCTGATTCACCATAATTTTTCACATTGCGAAATGGACTATTCTTACTGTAGTGATTCCTGCTTACTGACTAATGCAGTGGTTCTTAAACTTTTTCGAGCGCGACCCAAATCTGAGTTTTATGAATACTCGCGACCCAATCCTAAATAACGCAAAATGTGTTTTTAATGTTAGTACAGTTTGACTCAAATACAGACAACTATTTAATAGAAACAGTCCATTGACTCAGTGAGATTGATGAAACTGAAATTTCCTTATCATTATATCTTCAATACACAGCTCTATTTTACTTAACGCAATACGCAAGTTGTCACGGGTATCGAGGCGATTGCGAGATTAGTTTTAATAACCGTCAGTGCCAAATCTCCTCGCTCGCACAAGTGCCTTGTCGCGAATTGTAGCAGAAAAGGCGTCCGCTGTCCGTCGCAAACACGACATCCTAGCTGGCCTTCGGTATCTCTCGCAATATACAACTTTTTACTCATCAAATGTGCACACGCTGCTTCGTTCGCGGTAAATGAAGTCACATTTTTTCTAGATATTGAATAATCTAATGTCGAGAAGCGAGCATTTTCATTGCGTCGTCTATTACAATTTACATTACCAAAAAGACACCCATTTTTGGTTATTTTAATCCACTAAGACGACATTCCACGCGGTCAACACAACGACAAGCGACGTGCATGGTTACCGATACCATAAAAATAATACACGTGACTGGCATATCAGAATTGTGATGTAACAATGAGCTCAAGACAGTTCTTTCCGTGAATGAAATTTTATATTTCATTATTTTTAAATACCAGAGTTTAGAAGCTAAATTGAAACATTGGGAAAGCTGAAAATTCGTCCTTCTCCTCTTAGATTACCCTTGCATTGACGACCTTGTCGCGACCCATTTTTAAACCTTCCGCGACCCATGTTTGGGTCGCGACCCATACTTTAAGAACCACTGGACTAATGGTTACTGTGTGTATATAATATGAACGATATATTTTGACAGCGTTTCAAATATCTATACAGAATAATGTTATCATTAGGGTCTGATATGGTAAAGGCAATATTTACAGGGTGTCCATAAAGTCCCTTTACATTTCAATTTGTTATGAAGTCAGTTCTCAATATATTTTAACAGTAATTGTATTTTTACATCATTTATTACATCTGAGAGGGCCAAAATACTATATGGTATCGATAAACTCCCTTTGTAATTTTGAAAAAGTTCAAGTCTTCATGGATACCCTATACATTAGTAAAAAAGTCAACAAGGAGTTATAAGTAATAAAAAAACATGAGAGGATGATATAATAGATCCAAACAAGTTGGTCTCACTCTCAAAAATCTTGGGGACTATTTAAACAGCGATTTAGGCACGGTAGCACACTTACCAATATCTGGTAGATCAACATACTGTATGCCTGTTCTGTTCCAAGCTCGAAGTACTCGATGTGCAATAAGACTTGCTATTAAAACTCCAACAATGTGCATGTCTGAATCCTAAAAAGATGAATAAGTAGACCAGTTGACAAATTGGAAAGCAAGAAGTCCAAAAGTCTCACCAAAAAAACATGAAAGCCTCAAATGAGTGGAATTAATCACTCAATTGGAAACATACATAATTTTATGTCAATTATTTATAATTCTGTTTTCATATAGGTACGAAAGAATAGATCAAAAGTTAATCATCCATTGCAGATGCCTGGACTTGATATTTCTCAAAAATTATTCTTGTACATTAATCCTAGCTTGATAAAAAATGAAAATATCCTCACATTTTGAGGACCCTTCTTTGTTTTGTCGAAAGTAAACTCCTCAGTGGCTGTTTCCAACTCAACAAAATCCCAAGTTGAGTCGACAGATTCATCTGATTTAGCTCGGTGTAAAAGTTCCATAGACTCTTCTTTTTCTCGAATTTTGCGGGCTGGTGAAGATTTTTCTAAAATATAAAATTGTGAATTCAAGGCAAGTTTCCAATGTGGCAAATGTGCAGTATGTTAAAGGTATTTTAATGTAAGTTAAGTCAAAGTCAGCAAAAGCCGACTTGCTTATTAATAATAGATCCAATGTTATGCTTATAGTTACATATATTGATTTTGTTGCAAATTGCCATGAATTACTCGAAAGTACAAAATTAGCAAACAAAATGATGTACTTTCAATTTCAAAAACGTCACAATTTTAATTAAAATTATTTAAAAATAAAAACAGATCACAAATATTGTTTTATCAATTGGGTTTGCAGACAAACACCGACACGGAAATATGTTTGTGTCAGTATGCAGGAAGACTCGTTGAATCACCCGTACCTGTCACCATTTTGTGAAAACAAAATTTTTATACTTATTCATCTATCCTCTTTAAAGCAACACATATATAACAATGCAATCCTAACTTACTTCTAGAAAAAAATCCTTTCTGAATAGTCTCAGCCATTCCAAGTTTTTTGCCAACAATTTCCATAATAACACTACAAAACAGGATTGCCAGAAACGTTGTTGTCAAAAAATACCAAGTTTGATGTTCTTCCTCAAGGAAACTGCTTGATAAGAGACTCATTCCATGAACTATAGTACCCAACGTAGCAAGTACACCCCAAGTTACGGGTGAGGAGGGTGCGTCTCGAGGTTCGTCAGTGTTCGCTGGAGCTTTATGGATTAACACAATTTGGCCCCAAGAGACTGCCACAGCAAAATAACCCTGAAAATTTGGAGAAATGCTATATTACTTCAATCAACTGACATTAGAGGCAAAGTGGATGTTTTGCAATGTTTTTTTTTTGTTCTCGTTGAGAAAAAATCTGTTTTCTCCTCAACTAACAGATCAATCAATTTCAAATTTTCATTACAGATACATGGCCAAATCTGCTAAAATTTCTTTTTTTTTACATTTTTTATTGGGGCTATTGGAGTCAATACTTCAATTGATATTTGACTGTTTTATTTTAATTCGTGGGAATGCTTTTTATGAAGCATTGGAACATAGTTGTCTGCTGATCTTTTCAGCAATCAGGTGCTTGACAAACGGCCTTCAGATCCATATTTTTTCAAATACCATAAATGACTGCTTCCATTATGCTTTGGTTTATCCCCAAAACCGTTTTCAAATTCAATACCAAATTGAAGAACAGTTACCAATAACCATATTAAACATTACTGTTATTTACCGGTATAAAAATGTTATCAAACTCACCAGCCATGTTAAAACCATTCCAATCCCCATGTACATATAATTATACGATGCAATATTATACATCAATTCATCAGATATAATCTTCTGTGATGAAACATAGGATTTTTTTGCATCTTCAAATTTATTGTCGGCAATATCTTGATGTTGGAGATAAGTAGCATGAGAGAGAAGTCCTTCACTAAAAGTGGTAATTGGGTGAGTAGTAAAATATGATTGACAATTGACATTGCTTCATATTTCAAAGTATTTGTTCCCCCATCAACGTGTGGGTAAACTGTTTATCCCAGTGTTTGACATGAATAAAATATGAAAATGTTGAAAGCCTCTCCACATTATAGTGTAATACCATCTCTTATGCCAGCAGTTCCCAACATTTGCTAAGTGCACCTCGAAAATTAACCGGATTGTGTTGAACATGACCAATTTATGATCAAATGTTTTACATATTGTATTTACCATAAATGCTTTGTTTCTATTTTAAATGCTGTGTTTATGAATCGATAAATTCGTTTGAACATTCTATGTCGTTTACTTTCTGTTACACAGTGTCATTGTTACGTAACAATGGAGGTAGAAACTAATTGTTGCAATTTCACGAGCTGCAGTTTATTTATCTTCTGGACCGAGTTTAGCGAACATGAGTGAATTTTTCAGTATTTCAAAGGAATATCAGACATATATGAGAAAGAAGAGTTGACCTTTTGTCATTATTCTTTTAGGCCTCATGATTTCAAACTTTAAAAGGTATAAAAGTACACACTGACAATCACAAAATTGAGTTTTATTTGGAGGCAGCATTTTTTTCCGTGTAGGTGTGCCGTGAGTTTTTTCCATGATAATTTAGCGCTGCACAAACGAAAAGTTTGGGAGCCGCTCGCTGTCTTATGCAAAAGACAACGTTTCGATATGCGATAACAATATCGTTATTGGTGACATTCGGTCACATACTTACCTGTTCGCAAAATTTACCCCTGAAAGTGTGAATATCTTAGTGATCTTAGTGAATATCTAATATTTTACCCATATAGTTGGAGAGGGTTAGCAAATCCAAACTGTTCTTTATCAAGAGTTCCAGTCTTCCCAGCTAATGTCAGTAAATGATGCGAGTTATATTCTAACACATGAAGCTGATCTGCAGGACTTAGTCTCTGGGAAAATAAAAAATAAAATTGCAGATGGCAGCAAATTAATAGTGTTTGTAAAATCATGAATACATTTTCCAGGGCAGATGAGGCGGAGTTTGACATTTTTCATTGGAGTCGAAATTGCGAATCCACAGAGTTAATAAGAGTTTTTTAAAAATGAACAGGTGTCCCCTGAAATGATTTGAAAAAACCCTGGATATAGATTCATAATGGATAAAAAATTTACAGTAGTTGGAGGAAAAGTGATTTCTGCTTTCCAACTTCCATTTCCCAATCCATTGATATTGATACATCCGTTGATATAGCCATTGTAAGTACAGCAAAATTCCTTTATTCTATCAGTTACCTGTATTAAAGGTGTTATGAGTTTGCCCATTGAATTTCTTGGTATCGGTAAACCAAACAACACTGATAATGTTGATGTAAGATCTATCTGTTGCACTTCAGTTGGGATATCACTTCTGAAAGAAGTATTGGATGATACAAAAGAAAAGACGGTACTCCCGTAGTATGTGTACCAGGTTAGGATTAGGCCATAATTTTATTCCGATTTTCCTTATTTTAGTTCTATTACGAGTTCGGGGACCGTCTGTGTTAGCCAAGTGAATACACCCTCTGCCCATAGGCTTCAGTCCCTTTACACAACTCGATTTAAAATAGGCGAACAAAATTAGTTACCTCCATATTGGTACACACACTTCTGGAGTGCCGAAAAGATAAAAGTCTTGTAATCACAATAATGCCAGCCTGGGACTGATATAAATTGATCATTCAGAGTTAAAAATGACTTATACAAATTGGCATATTTTGATGTACGATGGAACAATCATAAAACACAAAACTGTAATCTAAGTTTTTCCACATATCTATTCGTACTTGTGTGAAGCTGTATGAATAAATATATAAACTATAAATATATATAAAAGCAAACCCAATATTGGCAAAACAAAAAGATCTTTAAATGGTGTTTATAGTGAAATAGTGAAAAAAGTTTTAATAAATTAATATTTAAAGTTTAAAATCTATTTCAACAATACACATTGAAAAATCATTCTAAAAAAATATTTTTAGAATATGAAATGTTTTAAGAAAAAAAGTAATCTAATATACTAAAATATTCTAGAATAATCCTTTTTCTGTATTATAAATCAATTTAGCAAAGTTTGATCAAATTGGACTATATTTCCACTTACATATCAGATTCCAAACTGATCTTAGGACTCAAGAACAATAACGGCGTATTTCTCTCATGTTGTGTTGTTCCTCCATGACTACCTTTATCTGTCATACCATGATCTCCAGTCACCACAATGAGACTACGAGAGTTTTTCTCAGCATCCTGAAGAAGTAAAAAAATTATAAATCAAAATTGTGTTTACACGAAATAAATGGAAAGGATATAAATAGAGGAAAAGAAATATTGATTGCAAAACCCCAAAAAACATGCCCTTTTGAAACTTGAAAAAGCTGCTTTCAGAAAATAAGAAAAACATATATTTTATATTTTTAAACCTCTGCAACTTTCCTAAGGGATTCAAGAGTCTTACTGCACATTAACACAAATACATTTCTGTAACGTTCTGTCTGACCAAGGTCAGACTTCCTCAGTTATACATAGTTCAACTAAAAAAAAGTTCTGTAACTTTTATTGAAATACTTAGTAAAATTGCTTCAATCTATGATTAGGTTACTAACCTACATCGCACCTTGCAGATTATTTTTTTAAAATCAAACATTTGCTGTTTTGCCTTGAAACCATTTATATATCATACTTAAAATCGGAATGTCTAATTTATGTAAAAACAAAGAACTCAAGGAGCACAATATATATGCGTACTGTTAGTATTCTATGTTTTATTCAATCTTTGCCCGTGTTACGCCTGATTATCTATATGTTAAAGATAGCCAGGGAAAAACAAGCATTCAATTTTCTATACTGACAACATAAGCTAGACAAGTATAACTTAAAATTTTATAAAGTTAAAATCGATGATTATATGCAATTTTGAAAAATAAATTAGAGTGCATAAAGTGATTATAATAATAAATACTCATTTATCAAAACAAGAGAGCAATGCTCAAATATAGCGATAACAATGTTGCGCAACGGTATTGGTTCATTGAAGCCAAAAAGCAAGGAAAGATGGTAACAGCGGCCATTAAATAGAGGAACAAAAATTGTTCCCTTTTGAAAAATTTAAAAAGAGCCTTGTAGCGTCATTATCACAGAACATAACGTAAATCTTTCATACAAACATAAGGGGAGCTGACTCGGTTGACCATATGGTCATATTGCTCCACCCAGTCTATACTGAAGAACTTAGATTGTTTTTGTATATTTTTATTATTATTATTGCAATGCTCGTTTTTCCTGGTTGACGGAAAAATAAATCTCTCTCTCTCTCTCTCTAAATTCTAAGAAATAAAGCATACACTTACATGTTTCTGCAATGTTTCATATATCTGTTGAATTACAAAATCCATTTCTTTGAGTTTAGAGTCAATCAGAGGACTTTTTGCTCCTAAAAATGAAAATATCAGTCGTTAAATTTAAACAAAATCAATAACCAAGTCAAAGTCAAATGGCTATTGGTTACCCAAAGTCCAAACAGTAGGAATGGTATATTAGACTAGGCCAGTAGTAAGCAAACTGTGGGTTGTCGAGCATTATCTGGTGGGCCTAACTGAATTGTGCTATAAAACCTTTTCCATTTTATTATTTGGGCCTCGACTAAAAAACTTTGCCGATCACTGAATTAGGCCAAAGCGGATTATGCTGGATTAGAGGTCAATTTATAGGTCACGGAAACCTAGCTTTGGGCATTTTTCAGAAATAAATGCCCAAAGCTAGGTTTCCGTGACCTATAAATTGACCTCTAAACGAGCATAGTTCGCTTTGGCCTAATTCAGTAATCCTGGCTGAGAGGAAAGTTGATAAGACAGCTTAGTCACATGGAAAACCACAGATTTGTACCTGTCCGTGCTTGGTGTAGAAACAACTATCAGTTCCGAATGTAATAAACGCAATTGGATGAAGAATTCAGAAAAAGTTTGCAAAATTCCTAATCCACTGATATATAAATACCTGCAATATGGCCGATATGTCCAAGTCCAATATAATGTAAAATCATCATATCAAAATGATCAGGATAGTTCAACTCAGTTTTTACATGTTGTGTGATGTTTTTATCAACCTGAATGAATTAAATATTATTCAATATAGGACTGAGAAGAAGATTTGCAGGCCAGGAGAGAAGAGTACCCACGAGGACGGAACCCGTATGTAATCCTAATACCGCTATGAACAATTAGGATACCAGTAAAACAGAATTGTTATGAATATACGCATGCTTAAACTGTGATAATGATGTAACAATTGGCGGTATCTAGACCGCTAAAAAGTAGAAGATAAAGTGGCAAACTATTTCACTAAGTTCGGCATGCCATATTAAATCGTTACGTGGGTCATAATTTGCCCCTGGGCCGAGGTGTCATTGTACATCTTCGCTCCTAACCATAAGCATCACATATCAAAACTTTCAAAATGGTTTATTTAAAAAAGAGAGTCTACAGAAACAGTGACACTGCTATAGTCATTAACTCTTGAGTCAATAAAACCCCAAGCAAGCAAAATTTATATGTAAATTGTAAAACTCTAAATTAAATCAATATACCTCTGTATAATCAGTCACAAAGAAAGAGCTGACACCATTTTGTCTTTTAAATTTCCCAGGATGTAGCCTAGTCCATGTGTCGTCACCATAGAATACAATAGATCTTCCAGCTGAAAATGCATTCCTGATAAAATTATCTTCCTTTAATTCCTTTGCGGCATCGAGACTTAAAATAACGTCAGCATAACCTGGAACACTGCCTGTCATAAGTGCCTGCGATGAAAAAAACATGAAATAGCGTAAGATTGTGGACAAAAATTCGTACATTTTTTATGAAATAATACACAATTTCTGAACCAGTAACTGGGAAAGCAGACACTGCATGTATACAAAGTTACCAAATTGGCTGAAATTTTTTTTAGATGAATTTGGGAATAACATATTTCAACTGCATTGCAAATGAAAAAATATCACCTTCGGAAATGATGGTATTCTTTGCTTACACAAAAATAAGTTCATATTATTAGTACAATGCTTTTATTGCTGAATTTTCTGATAGAAAAATGGGGAAAAATATCAGATTAGAAATATTTCAATTTTAAAAATAGGCTACAAATTTGGAAACAAATTTTTTTGTAAAATTTAATTTTGTTGTCACTTTTCTGGCAAACTGAATTTGACAAGCACAAGCAAAATTTTATTTCAACAACCAATAAAATAAGAATTATTACTAGATTATGGAACTACTTGGAAATGACTGATTAAACGCATGAATAGAGTTAAATTAATAGGATTATAGACTTGAAAATAAATAATAAGGAAAACTTTGCTACAGATTCATGATATTCCGAATTCTGATTTCAGCATTTTATGAGAAAATCATCAATTTAATACATGAGATTTGTCACAAACTATGATTTAATTGTCCAATTAGAAAATCGTACAAAAAAAATACTCCAAAACTGAATTTTTTAAATAGAATTCTTCGTTTATAAATGTTCTGGTAATTTCTAGACACCATACCTTAATTCTAGGCATTGTCAATGTAGGTGCCTCAGCTCTTGAAATAAAACCTGCTGCATCACCTCCGAGTAATAATTTGTGTATAAATGGTAAATTGTGCAAATGATGAGAAGCAAAAACAAAATCTTCACGAAGGCCATTGATCACGACCAATACAAGCTTTGTGAAGTTCTTAGGTAGTGGATCTAAAGGTAATTCGTTATTAATGAATAATGGGAATAAAGTGTGGAAAACTTAATTAAAGACCAAATCTGATTAGACAGTGAAACACACAAAAAAACACAACATATAATAATTGTAAATAACCAGCCCATATTGAAAATAAGAATTTAATTTGGTATTAGTGATACAATCGCACAGTAAAAAAATATCATTGAAAGATCACATTTGAGCGTAAATAGAGGAAAAGACATAGATGGACCTACTGTCAATCCCAAACTTCAATAATCTAGTTATTCATTATACTGAAATAATATTTTCAAATATAGGGATGCTAATATATTCCGAGACCCAATCATAATAAACTGGGAAAAATATCACAAATCAGAAATGTAAAATGCTCTTCACAATTTTTAGTTACGACTTTTATTAATTTTACATTGTCAGAGTCAGAGGTTCAACCAAGAATTGGAATTATCCATCGAATTATCAGATTCTAAATATTTAGGATAGGATAAGATTTAATAAAACGATAATGAGAATATCGGTCGGAGACCGAAGACTCATCGATCGGAGGTTAGGGGATCCCCCAAAACAGCGCTCTTACTCCATAGTGACACCTTGTGTCCCATCACTAATTAATTAATAACTCGCTAATGATACGACATAATTCATCGAAAATCAATAGGCTTCTGTTCCGAACTATGATGAAAGCACATGCAAAATTTGGAGCAGATTCAACCTCGCTTTCGTGAGATATCGCGTGTATCTAACAGACAAACAAACAGACAAATACCTATCAACATACTGACCGATCTTAATAAGATGGATAAGTAATGAAAATATTTTAAATTGTATTTCAATTCAAGAATTTGAATGTATCCAGTTTCATTGGACATCTCGGTGCAATTTGGAAATAATGTTAATAAATGAATAATGACTCCATCATGATCTCCTTATTAACCTAAAAATGGTAGTGAATTATACCTTTTGATTTGACAGTAGGAGTGTTATCAGGAGAATGGAAATCCATACTACTGAGTTGAAGTAATATATCACTATCAGATGGTGCAGGAGGAATATCATCTTCACTACTGAAACCAACTCTGGAAATCTTGACTGGAAAAAATCCCTTAAAAATAAATTAAAATTCATTTCACTGATTATTTGACTTTTATCATGATCTATTATAGATAGTAGAGATTCATAACTGCCTAAAATTTGCTTTAATTATTTCTGTGACAATTGGCTTACCATCAACTATTATCTCAAAGATAAAAACTTTGAATAAGATTTTTGAGTTAATTTCAGATAACAGCTACAGAAAACTCTGTATCATTCAAAATATCTTTTCTTAGAGAACGATTGCCTTACATCGCTAGTAGTCAAGTTTATATTTTCCAACTAGTAAAAACCAATCATGTAAAAATGAAGAACAAATAAGTAAGCTCAGAGTTTCACCGGGGGAGCTGTGACAGCCAAAATCTAATTGGAAGTCTAAAAGATTGGAGACTTTAATTTGGTATTAACGTTATTGTTGGGGAGTTGCTTTGTCAAACCAACTAAAATTGCTCTCACACCACTGGATGATCAGGGAATCACCACTCCAAATAGATTATTTGAAGTTCTCATTCTGTGGAAAATAGTTGGAAAATTTTGAAGGCGACCTAACCAACCATGTGGTTACTTTATTAGACTGTTAGCCTAGAGCCCTATTCAGAGTGAATCCCTTTCCCCAAATCAAGGGGGAAAAAATATATATTTACCTTGAGATAGACGAATATTCCAAGAACAGTTATAAAATAAAAACACATCAACCTCCATTTAAATTTCATTTTTTATCTAAAATATATTTTAAAAACTACAAAAACAAAGGATAAATTTTGTGAAAAAAAAAAGATCTATAAATGAAAAATCATCATAAAACACAGAATTCAGATAGAGACAACTCATTAAATATAAAACCACACAACAACAAAAAACTTGAAGAAATTTAAAAAAAATAAATTGAAAATTATTCAGATAAAATAATATTTTTGAAAATTTCCACAAATAGCTGATATATTATCTAGGTATTTTGTAGCAACAGCATTAATTAAAATGAACAGTTTTATAATGATACAAATCCCAACAATTCATAGAATGTTATCAATATGCCATTGGAGAGCTACAAAACTTATGTAACATACAAACATCTTTGAACCGAAGATGCTTCACACTTCACTGGATGCTTCCAGTAATTTTATATGTATTTGTATCCGGTTGAAATATAAATATATATATAAATAAATAACTTTAACAATGGAAAACGTTAACAGAGCAAAATCATTTCAATACCATTTCACTGAGGTAATCAAACTAATCTCTCTCTATAACAACCCTTTTTAGAAATATTCATTCATTCAACTATTTTAATATTAAAATAAAGTAGTTTCCTGGCATTCTAAATGGTTTTACTGAGTATAAAAAAGATATCTAGAAAATAAAACTTCAACAACCTAAATGGCACAGTGTAAATAAGAATAAAACACAGTTTCAAATTATTTTAAACATTTAACATTACTAAGATAAACATTTGTCATTAAATGAAGAAATTCTGATTCGTCCATTAAATTTTTTGCATCCCCTTCATCTTCTTTCGCCTGGAATTAAAGAATTATGTCAGTCAAGTAACCGGGAAAAATTTTCAATTTTATAGTATAAACAAGATAAAAGCACAGTCTTCAAATCGTCATAACTCTTAAAACCATTCATCAGAGGAGGAAGAGTATCAGGGAAATTTCAAAAGAATGCCGAAATATGTTTAATAGCTTTTCCCTCTTTCTTGCAATTTCTCTCCCATTTTGAATAAATCAAACAATTTACTGATAAATTATAATAATGCATTTCATATTGTATTAAAAATTGACATTCCAAGATTTGGTGAGTAAAATTTTCCTAATTTTCATTATAATTCAAATAATTTCAAATTAAGAAATGCTAACTTGAATAAATTTCAATTTTCAGCCTAATAATTGAATACTCCTAAAAATCTAAAATAAAATGGAAAATCTTTGTTGAGGTTTTTGAAAATTTTTTGGTAGTTGTAAATTGTAATATTATTCAAGTAATATAATTATTATTAATCATGTGCATATCTATTTTACACCTTACCTAAAACCAAAATTTGTATACTGAATTAATTTTTTTTGTCGTTTTGGGAGTATAAGAATATTATAAAAAATATCATAATATCAATCAAATAAATTCAATGGTAGGAAATAAATTTGCAAATTTAATGCAAATGCAAAATTTGCAATTTACAAAATTAAAATCAGACGAGAAGATAAATTTTAGTAAATTCACTATTCAGATATATAAAATACCTGCAACATAGCAGAGGCCAGATTATCGGGTCTCAATTTCTTTCCTGCCTCCATTGCGTGAGAAAAATTGTCATCAGATTTCACAAAATTATTGTTGCTTCGAAGCAACGATTCACTGAACGTTTCAACAGTAGTATCACATAAATATCTGGAAATATGGAAATTAAAGAACCAACTTTAAGCTTGATTGAGATGGAAATTTGGAAATAATACAAAATTCCTATTTGGTAAATTTGGCAAAAGAAAACTAAGACGAAATTGTTCAAAAAGTAAAGAAAATCTTGCATTCAGATTAGTGAGCGCATATATCAGGCTGTCATCAATGAATCAAGCAACATTCAGAGAAAACCACTGAAGTTACTTATAATTCAGACAGTGCCAAAAAGTGCATCATCATAGCAAGAAAATATTTTTACAATTGATCTGTTTTGAAAATTCAAATAATAACAAACCTGTCGGCCATTTCATTTTTTCCACTCAGCGTTTTGAACAAGTCTTCAGAGAGTTCAATAAAATCTGTGAAATATTGTTTGTTGAGAAATAAAAAAAATTGAAAATAAATGAGTCATTTGTTTACTGAGAAAAATAATAATGTAGATCAGGGGTGTAATCTTCATCACAGTAAGGCTAGATACAAAGTAAATGAGTGCAGCCGTGGGTCGGCACCTTTATTTAAGATAGCTTTTCTAGTAGTTGCAGGCACGAAAAATCGTTTCATTTTGTTATTGATCTTACGGCATTGCTAGGGGTCCTTGCAGAAATGCGAGTTAAAACGAATAAATTTCTAAAGAAAAAAACTGCTATTCAAATTTCTTGTCACACCGACTGTGAACGAATTCAATGAGAAATACAGTTTTTATAACCTTGTGTATTTTGCAACAGGATTTTGCTAGCTGGCACTTCTCCGCGGGCACACAATTTTCTCTTGTGGGCCAAATTTGGCCCGCGGGCCGCAGTTTGCACACCCCAGATGTAGATAATAAGATTTCAAGATATCTTTCAAACATAATAAAAAGCCATCAACTTATTGCATATCTCTATCTAGATTTATGATGACAAAAACAAATGCTTCAAGTATTACCAGATAAGAAAATTTAAAATAAATTAAAAAAAGTGCCGTAATTGCCAATTGGGATCAAACTTGCACAACAAATAAACGCTGCTTGCTATTCAAGACATTCATATTCAAAAAATCCCACAGTTTGCAGAATAGATAAAAAAATGTACAAGTACCTATCAAAACATAAGCTACAGTAACACTGTATTTGAAAACTTCATATGGAACCATTTCATTCCATTTGCAACAAACTTTATCAACAAGATTTTCTTTTAATTCATCAGGAACATCGGAACAAATAAACTTTATAAATTCTTCATGTATTGCTCCAGACATTCCTGAACGTTTGTTTGTAAGCTTTTTCGAACTTGGGTCTGAAGGAAAGAAGACTATATAAACCTTTTTGCTGGACAAATCGATTTTGGATTGGGAAAACTGATGTATGGAAAATTGATGTATCAACCAGAAAGGCCCAATCAAAATTTATACAAATTGGTCCTCACCAAGTAGGGGCTGCATGTAAAGAGCTTGAAAAGAAGAATGTATAAACCTTATTGCTGGAGAAATCAATTCTGGATTGGGTAATGTCAATGAGTGGAAGAAATGAGGTATCAACCCAGGGATGTCCAATACAAATCGAAAATTTTAATTGCTTGTGAAGAGCTTTGTTCCGAGCAAAAGGCATATACATACCATTCGTCATATAAAAATCTTTTAAAATTGAATATATTCGATATATTTAATTCCTGATTTAGAAATATTTTTTAGTATATTACCATTTGGAAATTTATTACCTCAAGTCTTTGACATGAGAAAGCCAGATAAAAAATGAAATTAATTTTACTTTTTTTTTATACTTTAAAAAGAAAATATTAAATAATGTTACTTCAATATTTTGCATAATCAAATACAATTTTATTCATTTAAAATGGTATATACAAATTTTCTGTGAAACATACCCCAATTTATTCTATATTCAAAATTATAATTTCAGAATGTATTTGGTATAGTAAATTATTCGATTTTGAATTAATTATTATTATTAATAATTATAATTAATTATTCATTTCTGTTCTACACTCTGAATTTTCTAAAAAACAACTTGTTATGAAATCAAACATCAATTCATCTTGCATTCAGATTAGTGAGCGCATATGTCAGACTGTCATCAATGAATCAAGCAACATTCAAAGAAAACCTTCAAAGTTACTTATAATTCAGACAGTGCCAAAAAGTGCATCATCATAGCAAGAATTTGTTTGCAAAGAATTGATGTTTAGAAAAAATTTGCTAACAAATCAAATATACTATAAAGGAAAATCATACTTTTAGGTGCACTAAGAATATCGTATGCCAATATAACGTTGTTATTGAAAGCAGGACTCGAATGATGAGACAGTTTTAACGTTCTTGCAGCATGAGAAATCTAGAAAAAAAATATAAAAAATAAGCATGTGACTAAGATAGACAGAATTCAGGTGAAATAAATGATCAGAAAAAAAATTTTAAGACTACAAATTTGTTTTTTCATATTTCCATCATTTTAACATACATAGTTTATCGGCGCTCCAGACGTATGTGCACCAAGATGGCGGACACCGGAACGTCGTATGTGCACCAGGTTAGGGTTAGGCCATAATTTCAGGTACAAATACTATGGGAGTCACTTGGCTAGTCCCCAAACCCGTTATAGAACTAAAATAAGGAAAATTGGAATAAAATTATGGCCTAACCCTAACCTGGTACACATACGACGTTCCGGTGTCCGCCATCTTGGTGCACATACTTCTGGAGTAGCAGTTTATCGTATATGAACTTGGAGTTAATACATTTATTAAAGCTTTATATATAAATACCCACAAAATTTGGCACATTTGAAATTGAAATTTTTCATACAGATGTTATATGATACCATTATTACACCATATTGAATTTTTGAATGAATTTTAATTTAAATGATAATTCTACTCTCATGTCACAGAGGAAGATGATCTTGCATTCAGATTAGTGAGCGCATATGTCAGGCTGTCATCAATAGATCAAGCAACATTCAGAGAAAACCTCTGAAGTTACTTATAATTCAGACAGTGCCAAAAAGAGCATCATCATAGCAAGAATAAAATAGCTTAATGAGATAAATAATATTAAAAGATACTATTTTACAATTTCATTTTACAACTGTACTTTTACTGTATAACTTTCAGTTTAGGATGAATATTTCTCTGAAACCTGAATAAATTCTAGGTTCATTATAATTATTATACTTTATTCCTTATGAAAATTATACTAAATCATACCCTGTCAGCTCGGTTTTCTGAAGAAACAGTATCAAAGAAATTGGAAAGAAAAAGCAGTGGGTCTTCAGGTCTGTTCTCAACCAGCTTTAACAAAGCATCTTTCATCTGTTGTCGAACGCTGAATTTTTCTGAAAAAGGGTTTGATACATGAGTTAGCATTAGAGCAGGGGTCGGCCAACTTTTGTTGCTTGTGGGCCAAAATAAAAGGTTGCAAGTCATTCGTGTGAAGAATATAATCGTCAATACAGCTGTTTTGTTAATCTAATTCAGTGAAGCGTCGCGGGCCAGATTATATTGCTCCGCTGGTCGGAGTTTGCCGCCCCCTGATGTAGAGGGTCATTGCTCATGGGCATCTAGGACGACAACATGCATCAGATCAAGCCATGCTAGCCGCAATATTATTCTAATTTATTCGCGGCCATCACATGACTAAAATTGCAGTTTTTTGCTAAAAACTCTTGAATGCTACAGTAAAATTATTTCTTTGGTAAATAAGAATATGTTTTCCTGAGGAATCCAATGGTGATGTTTTCATATTGCGATTCCTTTTAGTTTATTACGCAGTGTGGGATTGCCAATATAGAGGTCAAAACCGCCTTGTAATGGAGGAATGGAGGAACTGTTATAAACGATGGCTTCCAATGTGGGGGCTATTCTTGGAATCAGAGAACTGTGTGGTACTGCCAGCTGAAGGGGTTCACAGAAAACTTCAGAGGTTATACAGCCGTGGCACCCTATGATGTATTGCCGCTATTAAAAGATGAGAATTATATGAACAATAAAACTAAATTAGTTATTGTTTAAAGAAGCGCATTGTTTTTTCATTTCTAATGTTACAAAGCTTTGTTTAAAATGGACATAACTAGTGTCAAAAATTATTATAACAACAAGTTTATCAAGATATGAGCAAAATAATTCTTCTATTTAACCGTTTTAGTCTGAAATATTGAGCATAGGTTTTCTAAACGCTTCATTTTCTACAAATCAACTCTTTATAAAGTCTAACATCTATTAATCTTGCATTCAGATTAGTGAGCGCATATGTCAGACTGTCATCAATGAATCAAGCAACATTCAGAGAAAACCTCCAAAGTTACTTATAATTCAGACAGTGCCAAAATAAGCATCATCATAGCAAGAATATTGAAAATACATGGACTATTCAGATTTTCATATCTAAAATGAAAAAATTGGCATGATAGCCAGATAGCCGAGTGGTTGACAAAAACTATTATTTCACAGGGGCAAGTTAATCAGAATACGAGAAGTATAATAATTATTGTTTCTACCCCTTCATTATAAATCATAGACATTAGCTTTCAGACTTTAGATCAAAAATTGGTATATTTAGTTTGAGGTGAAGGAAAGAAATAAATATATTTAAATTGTAGACTAGTATGGAGATACCGTGGTCTGGTGGTTAACGAAATTAAATTGCAGAGCATGTTAATTTTTAGCATATAAATGAGATCACCAAATTCTGAAATTTCTGCAGGTAAACCAGTTTGCCAGTATAGCAGTATGAAATGTTAAATTCCACATAAATCACTGGCAACATACACTTCAAATAAAATAGTTACAATTAAAGAATAATACAACAACCGTCTGGTTAAACAATGTTTAAAACGTTTAGTGTGCAGGACGCCATGCAGTTTCCTGGCACCAACGTGCAGGTAAGAGTCTATTAACTTACCTAAGAACTCACGGTGCGTCGTGCTTTTTTCTTGGTCCATCTGACCAACAGGTTGATTCCTCCTTTCCGCCATTTCAGACTTCTAGGTTGGAGATTTGAAAGGCTGCTCCAGGATTTCAATAGATCATGCCAGATTTTTTCTGGTTACAAAAATAATATCGAATCGATTGTAAAAATTAACTATTGTTTTTTATAGAATAAATTTATCAATCTACGAATTTTACAATAATCACAATTTTTCTTTTAATAATAAACAAAAATCGTTATTTTGAAGCAAACTTTCTGATTTCAAAGCGTAAATTTTGTGTGAAGAATCTGGTATATCACAGATCGAATCACGTTTTGAACGGTTCACTAGTTTGTCTTTTAGTTAAAAGAACGCCTTCGATACGCCCATTTTAACATACTTTCCAAGCTTTTCCTAGTTCTTTCGCATTAAATATCATGGATTCAAAGCCGAAGGAGAGTCGGATTATTACCTTTCTGTTGAAGAATGTTAATAAAATATGGTGAGCACATTTATTTTCATGATTTTGTTTGTATTTTCAGCGCCTATATGCAATACAGTATAGCTGTATAGTACCGTAATATCGCTACGTAAATTTTAAGAAATATTAGGTTTACGCCGATACTCAGGATTTCAGTACAGAAGTATTCGTTAATTTAATCGGAAATACGGCAATATGACAGAAGTTAATAACACACCAGAAGACGATAAGGTTGAAAAGCAGAAAAAGCACGATGCAGAAAGTGCAGCTGACTTGGAGAAAGTCACTGGTATGTTTCTGTGTTTCCTGTTTGTTACATTTCAAAATTTCTGAATTTAGTTATTTCTACATTTTTCTGAATGTGTGTTTATACAATAATACGTAAGTTAACTATTCTTTGATAGGGTCTCTTAACACAATCAGACTAATGCGTAGAAATTTCAATTTTTTTTTATTGTACCTGTATTTGAACATGATTTTTCTATAATTTTACGGTGAAAAATATAATTCCAGGATTCTGCATATGCCTGTATGCATTGTTTATATCTTATAGCTGTATAGTTAACATGGATTCATTATATCTAAATCTTTTCTATTGTCTTTTGAACTAACTTTGTGTTTGAAGAGTAATATGTATGCGAGATTTTTAAAAGCATAAAAACCACTCTACCGCCGTTAAATTCAACGTAAGGTTATCTAATGACAGAATGAAGTTTTGGCACTGGCATTTGATGATTGAAAAGGGTTAATTTTTTATGCTTTAATTCCAGATTTTGCTGAAGAGAAAGAGATCTCTGGAACAGATTTAACAAGTTTACTTGCTAATCTCGGGACAGAAAGGCAAAAAAAGAAAATTTTACAACTGGAAAGAGAAAAAGAGTTGGCGAAAGTTCCAATAAAGAAAGAAGACGTTGAACTTATCATAAATGAACTTGAAGTCACGAAACAAAATGCTGAACGAACTTTGAGAGAAAATGGTGGAAATTTGGTTGCCGCACTCACTGCTCTAGTGAAAGCTTAAATATACACATTCGTAAAAATTTTGCAGCCTGTTTGAAAATATTCATCTTGATCAATATTTCCTTGTAGAGTCAATAATACCTAATTTCATATTAAAATAGAAGTGTTATTGAAAGCTCATCACTTAATTAACTGAATAATTGCATCCCCTAAAACACTACGTTCCAGTATAAACCCCAAATTTCCAGGATATGTCTCACGATTAACATAATAACAGCCTTGATATTTATTTTTATTCGGTTCCAAATAATAATTTTTTTCTAGTTACAATTATTCTTCAAACAAAACTGCTTGGTAATATGAAGTCCTGTAAACCTTTTTCTTCTCTATGAAATAGATCATTGTTTGTGTTCACAGAAAAACAAATTTTGTCTGTTGCCTAGCTAAATGTCTGTAGTTGGTTATATGACCCACCAACTGACAGAAAATATTGTACGCCCCTGAACTTGATCATTTATTTCCAATTCATAACACATTTGAAAACTCGATGAAAACATATCGGATTCTTTTTTTTAAATACTATCAGAATTGATTCGATATTTTTGATGCTTTTCCAATCATATGTTTTTTTTGTAAATTCAAAATGTTGATATAACGTGATGTTGATACAATCGGTTCAAATCTGGGTATACAATAAACTATTTCGAAAAGTTATAGTATGGGATCATTTGTGGATAATGGGTTGTTCCAGGCGTTGTTTTGCTTGTCATTTTTTTTTATCAAAAATGCTGCTTTATGAAGTTTAGAACATTGTTGGGTAGATAGGATAAGATTTACATATTTATCCCGGGTGTGAGGAAAGCCGATAAGACGGCTTATCCATATGGCGAACCACGGCCTCTCGTCCGGTTATCATTCCAAGTTGGGTATGGGATTAGTTATAATGTTTGTTTTCGGAAGCATGGACTTGGTAGTGGAGGAAGCCGCAGCGGTTACGTGAACCACCCAACGACGGCGAGGAGACCAGCAGTCCGCACATAACCATCCCTGCATGGGATTCGAACCTGCGAACCCACGCAGAGTAATTAGAGGTGCGGTGGCGAGCGCGTTCCTAACGCTTAGCCCGTTGAGCCACATCGCCGAGCCAGTTACTAAACACATAGTAGTGAGCCAAGTCGGTTCCGAAATTGAATAAATTGTTGAGGTAATTCTAACTGATGGTTAGTTGACGAGTACAAGTCATTCTATTCAGATAACGCAGGTCACTTTGTATCTTTGATGAATGGTGATTGGTGAGTGTAGTCAAGGGGGCCTTCAGCATTGCAATGATGACATTGCTAATAAGTGCAAATCTTTTTGCCATCTCTCTAGTTATACATGAAAGTCAAAGCTGTTGGACTCATCCAGGAACCCATAACTTAACCTATCGCCTTGTTTGAATGGGCGGTCACTTATCATGTAGAGACAGAGAGTTGGAGTTAGTTTTTTGGCATTGCAAGTTAAATCTCATGCCCACCATCTTACCCAGAGTATAATACGGGGTGTCCAAAAAGTTTTGCCCGATTATAAATTCTTTATGATCAAATGTTATTTTTTTTTTAATTCTAAAAAAAATTAATAGTCAGCCTGTATCTAATTGGATGTTATAGTCTCCATTAATCATACAACAAAATTTCAAATTCAAATTTGCGATTGGAATTTCTATGAAATCGGGCGAAACTTTTTGGACATCCAAACTTTTTATTGCGTTGGCAATGCGGAAGCAAAAGAATTCCGCTCTTCTAAAATAAACTAACGGTATCTATTTACTTGTACAGAGCCTTGTTTGGAGCGATATAAATATAAAAAAAAGTTAATGAAATCCTATTTTAATGCTAAACTTGATATTCTTAATTAATCCGTTTCGAAGCGGTGCTTTACGTAAACTAAACATGCATTGAAAATGCATTCAAGTCACGAAAAGCTAAACACTAGACGTGTTATTCAAGTTGGCTATGACTTTCTTTCTACTTGTATGAGCATATTTTTTACAATTTCCTTATATCATCGCATTGCACATGTTTTCACAGTGTTGCCAGCTACATCATCGGGATTCTTGCATTTCTGGCATTACCATACAGAGACCTCAGTGAATACCATTATCATTCCGAAAATGCTTTGTTGACTGGATTACAGGAATCACATTTCGGAGCTGGAGAAACCAGGGATGCACTGAAGTATAATAAGATTATATCGGCACTTGTAAAGAATGGAGATAGCAGGTACTAATAAATATGCAATTGTTAACTAAGTTAGAAATGGCACATTTAATTTGAATTTTTTTTGCAATCAGAAATACCCTGGGGACAGTAGTACATAAATTTATTAAGGATAGCAAAGTGTTTTCATCATCGCTTTTTTTCGATCATGCATTTTCAAATTATGGCAACTGAAACTTATGTGATGATAATAAGAAAATATGCAACACTATGCGACTCAAATTGTATGCATCAAAACGCAATCCATTAAAGGTCAAACTCAACGTGGATTGAAATTCCATTACACCAAATTTTTGTATCAGTTCATTCTCTTTAATAATAATATATGTAAGCTGTAGATATGAACTCATATATAAACTTATTTATTCATTCATTCTTGAAATTATTATATTTCTATCTAATATATTGTTTTCAGTAGAGACTCAGTCAGTCGGTCAGTCACTCCCAATTCTTCTTCAATGCCTTTGCGCTAGTCTTGGTGTAATGTTAATCTGCAGCAGGACTCTTCAACTGCATAATATATATTGCTCGTCCTTTTTCTTTTATCACTGTTACAATTTATATTTCAACTGTTTCACTGTCAAAGACCAGGATTGTTTTTAGTCTTCCATCACCTTGATGTGGTATTCCTACAAGCTAAATACAAAGTACTGACATTTGACCATATATTATTTATTCAGTGTTCTTCATGATAAATTGATTGAGATAATGCAACAATTTGGCATCAACTCATATAAACAAAAGTTTTCTATCAAATCTCCATTGCCTCAAACAGTTAATGGGGAACTTGTGCAACAGGTAATTAATACATCAGATGCAATTTTATTTTCCTTTGTCCAATGGCCATACAATATTTCTGAATAGAAGATATTTTGTAGAAATAGACAGACCATCATCCATAGAATAGAATATTGAAAAATACTTTGAAAATATAATATACTGATGCAATGAATACCTGTAATAAAATTTTTTTTTTTTTTTTCCGACCATTTCGCCTTGCCAAATAGTGTCTAAAATTTGATAGAGATCTGCTCAATTGCATCACCTTAATATAAATTTATCATCCTAAACAATACCAAAATTGTTTTTTATTTTGCAATAAATGATTCCGACTAAAATATTCTTTATTGGAAAGATTCGAAATGGAACAAATGTTTATGGATTCATTCGTGCTGGGAGAGCATCAAGTACTGAATCTATTGTGTTGAATATTCCCATTTCTAAAGGGAAATATAATCATGCAATTGGATTTGCGCTTTCGTTTGGAAGTAATATAAGAAGTGAGTGATGAAATGCTAGTTTGAGAATAGGTAGTTCGATTTAGTGTAAAATGCAATGCTTTTAACAAATGATTTCAGAAAATGAATTTTTTTTAAATTGTCTTGACTTACATATCTACGTCTGATACATGGTTAACGACCACAATTATCCTGTAAACCTATTCTGATAGTAGAGAAATATTACCCTTTGCATTATGCATGAGAATCTTTGCGTTAATTAAATGGTCTTCTTCACTGGTTTGCACCTTGTTTTCATGCCCCCTGCTTCACCCAGGATGTAATAAATTTGGATAGGCGAATCCCAAAAGATTTACGGTGGTTCTTTCAATTATATCAGCTAATTATATATCCTTGAATATCTCTGGATGCTTGCCTTGTTTGGAGTGAGAGCATGAATAGACGTTGCATTTGTTTTTCTTGAAAATCATAAAATTTGTTTTCCAAATTTTTTTGAAATTTGTTTTTAAGGTCAACCATATTGGGCAAAAGACATCGTACTTTTATTCACTGAGACTGGATACTTAGGAGCACAGGCATGGTTGCAAACATATTATGACACAAAGAATTCTGATTTCATCAATTCTGAACCATTAGAAGAAAGAGCAGGATCTATTCTCGCTGCATTGGTCCTTGATTTACCGGTTTGTTCCTCTTTATAATAATATTTATCATTGTACGATATTTCTGAGTAGAAGTTGAGCTGCAGACCAAGTGGAGTCACAGGTCACCGGGGTTCGAAGTAGGTTCAATCTCGGAGTTGAGTCTTACTGGCGGTTAGTTCATGATGTGTTCGCGTCATTCCATTAAGATAATTCAAGTCTCTAAGAGTCTTTAATAATAGCAGGTTCAAGTCTAACTTGAGCCTAGTCAAAGCTCTAGTCTCCTTGACACCGGTACTTGTTTTCTTGCATTTTTCTTGTTTTCATCATAAACAAAATGTAATGTTAAAACAAGTACTGGTATTGCGCTAAAGTATTTAACTCCAAATTACTTCATAACTAATTTTCTCGTATATGTTAGATTTCTCATTAGCCGACAATGCCAAATCCACCTCAAACAGATATTGGGATGGAACAGACGAAAACTGACATATATAGGAGTAGGACTGTAGTACGATCTCACTAATCATTTGAATTGCCTCCTCTGTAAAGGGCATATTCTGCTGTCATATAAAAAGCTGGTTTCAATAAAATACTGAATTGAAATTCCTTTTTCCTAAAATCAGGGGTGTGCACACCCCCGCCTGAAATAAATAAAAAATTATTTTGCAACCATTTTTATTTCCAGGAATCAACAAGCTACATAAATGCTGAAGTAGTTGGAAATAATGGTCAACTTCCCAATCTTGATCTTTTCAACGTTTTAACTAAACTAAGCAACAAACACAGAGTTCCTGTTTCTGTTGGAGGAGTTTTAACGGTTGGTGTTCCTTTGCCAACTAGTGTTTGATCTTATCACAAAATTTTAGACATTTCAAATCACTACTAAGAGATTTTACTGTGGATATAAATACAGTTTTTTTTGAGGCAGGGTTTCCCAAATTTTTCTGGGAATCTTATTTTTGATGGACCCTCATGGCCTCTTTCTATGTTGTATAAATTTACATGCCTAACCAACGAGGAAGAATAATGTTTCTATTGACGGAATAAAACTTTTGAAAGTCTAAATCAATACATACTGACGTTAAATACTGGCAGGCTAACGCTAATTCAATAAGATTATAATCTATTTGTATCTGTTACAGACTCTTTCCATATGGTTGCGGACCCCCTGTGCAGTCATCACGGAGCCCCAGGGGTTCACGGACCACAGTTTGAGAAACCCTGTCCTAAGGCGTTCTGTTTTCCAGTTCTCAGTTTAGGTTGATTTTAATTATGGACCTGGTAGCCCTAGTAAAGAATATATTTTATAGCAGTGTTTATCTTAATGTCCTATCTTGCGATGATAGAAAGAATTTAACCTTGACTCACAGATATTTATGATTCAATATATTTTCATAAACATTTACAGACCAATCGATATCATCCACTTTCAATGAAAGGATATTTGCAATCACTGAAAACTACAGTCAAAATGATGTCAAAGCAGGTATTCTTTCTATATTGCTTGCATTTTACATCGCTAATTTTGTCAAATCAGGTTTCAATGGTTTTATATTTCTATACTTCTTTCATATTAGCCTTCATCTGTGTTTTATCTTTTTATCTCAATTTTTTGGCTGTAAAATGACATACTTTTGTTAAAGGGGAATCAGTCTGTAAACAAAAACAAGTGTTTGCCCCTTGCTCTTGTACCTATGCTAAAAACCCTGTCATATAATGCTATGTTTTGTGCTTTTTTATTAAAGGCAAAAGGGTTCTCAAGTATAAATCATGCCATGTTTCTGCAACACAACATACAATCTTTATCAGTTCAAGGTGTTTACTCATCAAGATATGGAGATATTGACTTGGGCTCTATTGGAAGGTACTCTTATTATTATAGTACCACAGCCCTTTTGTTTTCTGTTTAATCTCTTCTTATTTACACATTTTCTGTGGACCTCATGTTACTTCAATTGCTGTTATTTTTCACAATTTTGTATAAAATTCCACTCTACTATATTGCAAATATATTTATATAATATAAGATTTAAAACTAGGAAGATTCTGTACTGTCTAAAATATTATCTCCTACAATGTTCTCAGTTGGTCCTATTTCACTAAAACTATTTCTATTTTACATAATTTCAACCAAACTGTTTATTTTCAGAGTGACAGAAGGAATATTCAGAAGTCTGAACAACTTACTTGAAAAGCTTCATCATTCTTACTTTTTCTATCTAATATCGGCAACAGATAGATTTATCAGTATTGTGTTGTACATGCCTCCATTCGGACTTATACTACTTGCACCCACTTTAAAAATATCCTTTTAAATAACAAAGTCTCTCATATCATTACTTAGTATTTTTATATTATATGTCTTATTTGCTCAAACCACAACCAAACCACTTTAGTAATCCTGCTAACATGAACTGTCAGATTAGGATTCTATGCTCGATGGGGGAAAATCTGAGGGTTGAGCCAGGTTGTGACCCACGGCTGTTTTTACACCCCATGCTTAGAGTTATAACAAGGTTTATGCGCATAGACCTTTTCACACATAGATCATGAGATAACCGAATAACTAGACGCCATGCATATTTTAGGCATTTTTCATAATGCTGTTATTTATATTAGATCAAATTAAAATTCAAGCATGTCATTACAGCCGTTGTCAAACTGAGATCATGTATAGCTTAGCACAGCTGCGCATCTTTATCGTGTCTGGTTAATAACATCCAGTAATATTCCACAAAGTCGATTAAATGTTATTCAATTCTTTTTGTGACCAGTATCAAAATTCACTGACCGTTTACTTTATTTTTATGAATTAATTTTTCCTTAACCCTAACTCACGCCCTTTGCCTATGGCTGGAAATGAGGAAGCAGGACGAAAAAGAGGAAGAAGAGAAAGGGGTTAAAGACAATGATGATGAACAAATTGAGTCTATCGAAGAAATAATAAAATCGAGAAAATTGCCTGCTACTGTTGACATTGACAATAAGGTACGAAGTTTGTAAGATGTTCAATCTGGTTCCATTTCAACAGCGCAAATGATTCTTTTAGAAAAAAACACAGGTTGTTTCTCATTTATGAGAGACCGATGACACTAAAAATTTTGTTTCATTTTCATGTCAAAGACTTGGCTCTCATTTTGAATATATCAAGAACCTTATCTGGGAACTTATTAGTTTCATATTGAAACAAAGAAAAATAAGTAAGCCAGCAGGAATGTTTACTTGCTTGAGATTTTACTTCAAACCTGTTTTTCCTTACACATTTCAGTAGATTTAAGAAAAAAACTTTAATAGCACTGTTTTGTTAGAATTGCACTACTACATTTGAGCCTGTAGTGAATTCAATTTAAAATTTAATGAAATTATAAGATTTCTACTCGTTAATTGTAAATTTTGGTCTTTTTTGACCATATATATCATTTACACAGGATTCAGACTGGATGGAATTGTTCTATATATTAGCAGTTTGTCATTTAGTTGGAGTCGTTTTGTACTTCAGTCCTAAATTTTCATCGGCTTGGTCCGAAATGTTTCACATACCTGTTGATGAAAGTCTTGTTCTAATATTCCTATCTACATTTCTGGCATCATTGGCTTTACCATTCACATCGATATTCAGGTAAGAATTTCAATTTGATTTGAATCCATACATTTATATATTGAATGTACAATATATCTATTGTTATTCTCACCAAGCAAAATTGCCTGAAAACAGTATTCCTTGTATAGTTATTTGCAAAAATACATCTTGGATTCCTAAGTGTAGTGACTGGTGATGTTGTTTAGGAATAATTTTTGCTGGAGAAATTTAATTTATTGCATTTAGTCTCACATACATCAGAAAATGTTTTCTTCATTTTCTGAAAACTAAAAAAAAACAATTAAATTCTGTTTATTCCAACTTTCCAGTATTTTCCATTTCATTGCCTTCTACAGGACATAACCCAAATTGACTGTATTCAGGATATTGAACTATTTTTGAATTTTTTTAGTTTAATATCTGATAATTGCACCATATTTTCAGGTTTTCACCAGACTCTAAAGCCCTACATCTTTTGCGAGTTGTAGCATTAGTTTTATATGCAGTTACTCTTGGTTGTGTTGCAGTTATGAACTTTTCCTTGGCAATGGTAACAGCTGTTATCTCTGTCCCATTTGTGACTTCAATCAGTCCTAATTCAAGAAGGTAATTTTGTAATATTTACTTAGATTTTGAGTCAATCACTCGTTCGCATGGATAACTGTTTCAATGAGTTGCTCTTATGACCTTGAACTAGGCAGATTTTTTTAAAATTTCACACTCAAATATAAGATAGAGTCTTTGGGGAAACAAGCAAAACATCTATTGAAGTTTGAATGTAGGGAATGTGATACTCTCAAAATGCAAAATATTGGAACTGAAAAAGGCAATCCTAATATGGGCATCCGGGCTGTTCTACTTTCTAGATCTCACAGTTCGAAAAATATCCTATTCATTCTGATATAATGATAATCTGTGAACTAGAACAAGAACTACAACTGGAGATCACAGATTCAAACTTGAAATTAAATTGATTTTGTGGAGCTAATATTGTGTAAATGCAGCTTTCTAATCTGATTTGCTTTTAAAATGAAGTACCAACATTGTGATTCAACAAATTGCTTTAATACTTTCCATTTTTTTTTATAGATTGAAACCGCTCTATGCTGCTATGGCAATACTTGCGTCACCTGTGGTGGTTGCTCTTACTTCGGCTGCATTAAACCAATATTTCTTCAACATTAAGATAGACTTTTGGGCATCTGCGAGTTACATCTTAAAAGGCCCATACGAACAATATTTGCTTGGCAATAGCTGGAATTATCAGTTTGCTTGTTTACTTTTGTATCCGAACTGGATGTTGTTCTGGTTTTTATCACTTTCTATAACCAGAGAATCTTGATTGATTTTGAATTGTTTTTCAAAGGTTGACTTTTTTCGTACCAATTCTAGGTTTCTTCATAACAGCAAAGACAATTTTGAAACACCAGTGCCCTTCGCCTGTTTCGAGATTATTTGTGCCCCCGAAGTATGTGTACCAAGATGCCGCACAATTTAAACATAGTATGTGTTCCAGGTTAGGGTTCAGGTTGTGCGTCATCTTGGTACACATACTTCCAGAGCACCGCCTCCCCTTAATATGCATGGAAACTCTGTTACTGTTTATTCAATATTTAATGGATAATTAGATATAAGTTGTGTAGTGCACAACCTGCACCCTATTCTTCGCACAATTGGATTAGTTTATGTGTACATTAAGAAGTGATAAAATAGTTTTGAATGTCCGTACTCGGTGCTTCTGAAGTATGCGCATTAAGATGTCGCATAACCTGAATTCTAACCTGTTACACAGCCTGAGTTCAGGTTGTGCGCCACCTTGGTGCGCATACTTCAGCAGGTCCCCGCACTCACTTCCACCCCTAATTACAAAGTAAAATTTTATTTCCCAAAATGCCTACTCATTAAGATACCCTGCATTAAGGCTATCAGCGGTGAATAATGCAGCAATTTCACCTTAACCCAGCTATTTGACAACCATGCTACATTCAACGCAAAAACAGAATGATAAGATGAAGATCTTGATTTTTTTTATTCTGTACTGTAGAATTTAAACGGATGCTGCATGAAATATTTGAATATGCACAAATGATGAAATTACTTGCACAGATTATTTTTCAAATTTATCAGATATGACTTGACAGATATGAACCTAGCACAACTTAACCGTAAATGTTCTGAATGTGTTCAAACTACTTGGTAATTGTCGAGTCATAATCAAATGAGTCGTGAAATTTGTTCCTATCCAGCGGTTTATAAGTTGTCCAATCGAATCCTACTCTTGCATTGTTGATGATTTGTTGCGGGTACTCGTATCTTGGCAGTCGGGCATTTGAGCCCCTTCAAACGTTTGGATCTAGAACTTTTTCACTTGCAATACCCGTCTTCCATCAGTGGAATTTACAACTCGCCGCCTGGCAGAGTGGCAGTGCCTTACCGTGCGTGCCTTATTTGACGCGATCAAAACTGCCCTATGAATAGATAATTCCGACTTGATATTTGCTTTAAAAAAATCCAAGATCAAGGGTTCGCGAAAAGATTCCGGGGGTACTTGATGGAAGTCGAGTTTTTGTGTGTTGCTGTTAATATCCTTTATAACTACCAGAGGAAAATGCGTGCCATAGACATAGATTATCACTGATCTTGCGTTGTTGTGATTGTGATGCAACAATGGGAAATTCACGGCTTCGTAGGCAAACTGAAATCTCTAACTTGGAAAAGATTTTAAGAATTCATTAGTTAGGCAGACGACAAGGGTAATAATATCAACTCGAATATTTAGTTACATAAGGTCAATAAATTGTTGTTGCAACAAATTGTTAGTCAATATATCACAACGTTGTTCGATGCCTGATTTTGGGGACTCGCGTTGATTGTTTCGTGGCCCGGGGGGGGGGGGGGATACTTGGCAGAAAAAAAGGTTGAGAACCCCTGATCTAGATGAAGCCATATATGGATTTTCCATGTTATTTCAGACTTCATATAAAAATATATACTACAATATTTTGTTCACTAATGCATTTATAGATCGAAATTACGTACGACCAGTCGATAGAAAGATGAATTGATTTTGGCACCCTGTGTGAAAACAGTCGCCGGTTACTACTTCCAACGTAAGATGGGAAGCGTCAAGTCAACGTAAATCACATTTACCCATTTCATTGATGTGATATAAAATCTGTTGACTTGATATGCGAGTCGGGAGTGCAGCAACACGGCTTGGGTTCGAAAGTTGAAATTCGCTGCGACTCTGATAAGCCGTGACTCTCGTTTTACTCGCAGTCAGGAACTTCCACTCGAACTCGACAATGATTAATTATTATTAGCGCTACGGGGTTTTGAAAGTAGCCCTTCAAGAGTTTCCGGCCGTGTACGGATATAAACTGTCAAAAAAGTATTCCTGAAATAGTACGTCTCGGAATAATCAGGAAACTAGGCAAAATCTAAATAAAATTCAAGAATAGCTATTGCACGTGCCCACTTTCCCATAGACAACACATTGAAATAATAATAAAAAATCGGTTATCAGATATCCGTTACACCTGTCGTTTGACTCGTATGCTCTCATCAGCTTTGATCAGTTTTCCACGATTAATAATATTATTTTATCACATTTTAATGCTACATGTCTTCGCCTAGAGCTCTTCAGCATCGAATAATGTTGCACTTGAAAAATTCTAAGTACAACCATGGTATCTACTTTAAACGTCTAGTATATATTATAGGTGTGGATTTGCATGAACCTTCTTCAGATTTTTTCTGATGTAGTATGAATTTCTAAAAAATACATGTCTTCGCCTAGAGGCCTCCAACAGCGAATAATGTTGCACTTGAGAAACGTCAGGGCTGAACGCCGTTGGCGCCTGGCGGGTCTCGCCGTTTCTCCGTTGTCACTTGTCACCGCAAAAGGGAAATTATTGTCGTGGAACTATTTAGATAAATTTGCATTGTGAAAATACGCCTTTTCCAATTATTTGTATCCTTTTTCAATTTTTGCCAAAAAAAAATGATATACGATCGTGATCGTAACCCCGTATCGAGGTCGTCTGTGTTTTTATTTTGGAGGCGTGATCGCTGGGCGTGGCTTCACTATTTATATCAGCATTTCCGATTTGGGGAGTTTAGAGTTAGTGGATCGACGTCTAGGTTTCGAAGTAGCGGAGTCGTTAAATGCGAAATAGCTTGGGAAATGACTAAACTATCGGACAATGTATTTATTGCCTTACTGCGACCGGTAACTATTGCCAAACCTTCGTCAAAAACTTTCAAATCAAAAGATTATGAAATTTTCATGATTTCAAGCCAAGAAGCTTCTGATAAAGAAAGGTATTTTTTTCAGCTTGTTGGAATTAGTTTATAGACTAAAAATGAGTTTCAACGGGCTAAGCGTTAGGAATACGCTCGCCACCGCACCTCTAGTCACTCTGCATGGGTTCGCAGGTTCGAATCCCATGCAGGGATGGTTATGTGCGAGAGGATTGCTGGACTCCTCGCCGTCGTTGGGTGGTTCACGTAACCGCTGGTCGGTTACGGCTTCCTCCACCACCAAGTCCATGCTTCCGAAAACAAACAATACAGTAAAAACTAATCCCATACCCGACTTGGAATGGTAACTGGACGAGAGGCCGTGGTTCGTCATATGGATAAGCCGTCTTATCGGCTTTCCTCTCCCCCGGGATAAATATGTAAATCCTATCCTATCCTAATAGCTTCCGCAGATTTTTTTTTAAAAATCTGTTTACAACATGACTGAATAAAGGGTAATTTTTACTGGCTCACTCAGCTTTTTAGGTATATAGGCCTGATTCTAGTTCCTCTCTTGAAGTTCTATTCTATTCAGTCAGCTATCTATCAGTTGGGAAATTTGTGGTGTACTTTTTTTCTATGCATGTTACATTTCTAATCTGGGTCTGGTATAGTTTAGTAACACAGCCACTTCTAGTTTGCCTGGCTCAACAATTTTTGTATATGTCAATCCTAACCCCCACCTGACTACATCACCAAAAACTTACGTCATTCCGACGTCACAGTGGCGTAATAAGGCTCACCAAAGTATGCGGATGGTCGTCCAAAACGCGCAGACGATAACCCGAAATCGAGCAAGCTATTTCTCTCGTTTTCTCGTCGCAACGATCACGATAGGAGAGAGATCGCCGGCTTTAGCAAGTTCTTATCGGCGGCGCAGATGCTATTTCGGGCGATCGTAATTATACTTTGGCAATCCCTATGACGTGATGATGAGGTCGTAGTGACGTAATTTTTGGATGGCATAGTCAGGTGAGGGTTAGGAATAACATATGCAAAAATCGTTATGCTACGCCCACTGGAAGTACTTGTGGTACTAAACTATACTAGATCCTCTAATCTAATAATATTCCAAACTAATTTTCTTAAGTTGTTAACTAAATTTTACAGTAAAAGATGGACGATGCCTTGTCTCTTCATTCCAGTAACTCACTCAAAGCCTCAACATATTCAGAGAGTTATTGATCATTCATTCAAGGTATCAATAACTTTTTAATTTACTACTTTCTTCAATTCAGCTGCTTTTATGTCACCGCCTGACATTGTGAAACTGTGCTATTATACAGGATTTTCAGTTTGGCGCATCGTGCTAAGCATTAGGAATACTCTTGCCACCGCACTTTGATTACCCTACGCGGGTTCGCAGGTTCGAGTTCCATATAGGAATAATTATGAGCTAGACTTTTCGCCGCCGCAGGGTGGTTTACGTAATTGCTGGTCCTAACTGGCTAACTAATCCCATACCCAACATGGATTAGAAACCGGACAAAAGGTCAAGGTACGCTTCATGATTAAGCTGTCTTGTAGGCTTTCCTTTTTCTCTCTGGATAAACATGTAAATCCTATTCTCGTCCGGATCGTAAATACTTTTCTGTCCTTTGCTTTGAAATTATTGCATAAAAATTGAAGAGTTTATTGAAATAAATGATAATTTTGAATAACAAGTTCAATGTTAGAATGTCACACCGCAAAAGATATGTTTTATGTTGTTTGTAATTAAGGACTTGGATCTCGTGATAAATGTAGCTGTTTCATTTTTTGCAGGTTACAAAAGAAGCAAGTTTGACAAACACAGGCGTGAAAGTCAGGAGAGTCATTAAAGCAAAGAAACAAAAAATTCAGGTAATGTTTTTCTCAAGTCTTAATCATAGGTTAATTCACAATTGAGTGCTTATATGTGAAAAAAGCGGGGAATTGTAAGAAAATATAATTGTGGTAATGCGAGACTAACTAAGAATCTATTCATTTTGTATGCCTTTGCACTGATGGATCCACATGCAAATAATGGAAAGAGCAATAATGGAAGGAACATGGTGACACAAATGTTTTGGGTAGCGTTTTGTCTGGCCAAGTTCTGACATCTTTACACAGCATTTTGCAAATATAACAAGAAGCTCTTTGTATCGTTATATATGGTTTGTTTTAGAAGAGAATGTGCTACAGCAGAACTTTGTTGTTAAAGTGTATAAAAGGCCTCAGAGTTAATAATAATAAATAATAATAATAATAATAAATTAATTCATTACAGAAGAGAAAAAATTAATAAGTAATTACGCATTTGATACTTACTAGGATAGGATTACTACATAATGTATTATAAATTTGTCGTTGACAATTAACATATCACTTATGTTATTTTTTTCGACAACTTTATGCAGCTAAAAGGTTCAACACAAGAAATAACTTTGTTTGTTGTTCCAACTTCTGCTAAACATGATCCAATTCCTGATATGGAGAATCCATCCCTGAGACCAGGTAAATTCTACTTATTTTTTGTATGCCAATTTTCATTTTATTATTTGCCTTAACAAGGTAACAGTGACTTTTATTTACACAATACTCTGAACAAGGTTACTGATATCTAGCAATACTTGAGGAGCTCCTATATTTAGAAGCATTTCCTATCTAATTTTTTGAACCCTAGGTAATGTGGTGAGCATGGAAAATGAATCTGAGATGTGTTACCAACACAGTCCATTGTGCCCCTTTGCAATTTGAATTTATTCATTACTTATCGATTTTAATCGTTAAGTATGTTGATAGGTATTCATCTGTCTGTTAGATGCACGTGATATCTCACGAAAGCGAAATGGAATCTGCTCCAGATTTTGCATGTGCATTCATCATACGTCATACCAGAAGCCTATTGATTTTGGATGAATTATGTCGTATAATTAGCGAGTTATTAATTAATTAGTGATGGGACACAAGGTGTCACTATGGAGTAAGAGCCCTGTTTTGGGGGATTCCCTAACTTTCGATCGATAAGTCTTCGGTCTCTGACCGATATTCTCGTTTCTTATTCTGTAATAGGTTTCTAATTTTTTAAACTTATTCAAATGACATCTTTTGTCTGCATTCTCAGATGGATTCCGGTGTCTTCATGAAACACAGAGAGAAATACATGATCATCCACAAAGATATCAAGACAGTACCAGACAAATTTTAGAGGCCTTAGACAGGTTTGTTTTACTGAGAGAATCAAAGCTGATTTATCCACGCTCTCATATCATTTTTGTTAGAAATTGTCTGTAGGAATACTACTCAATGCAATGAACAATTCAGTTCAGTTTTTCTTTGAAAATAGCAATCCCTTTACATATCGTTCAGGTAATTCAAAGCCTGTACATGGCTTTGTCTAGACTAGAGGCAACGATGTGAAAAGTTTATAAACTTCTATGATCTGAAATTTCGTTTGACGCTTTGTTTGTGCTCTTATTTTCTCAATTTTTTTCCTTTTCAGATGGTTGAAACGACAGCAGTCAAGGCCGATGGCATTGCAAGCTTTATTCCGACCTAGTGCTCTGGACAGAATACAAGAGAACATCACAAATCCTGCTTATGTTGCTGATGAATCTAGGTAAACGAATCATCTTAACTTCTTTCTTTGGGGAGATTTTTGTCTGAATTTCCCCCAAATCTGCGAAGTGTATTGTTTCACTTGAAACTTAATTTGGATGATTATTATGAAGGAAGCCGGCTATTATGTTTCCTCCATCGAGATTATGCTTTTCAATTTTAAGTTATCTAGACAGTTCTATCAAACTTATCTAAAAATCAGATACAAATATTTTCACAGACTATATGGTTAGTATATCAGTAGCTACTCCTGCAGTGTATGTACCAGGTTAGGGTTAAGCCATAAGTTTATCCAGATTTTCCCTAATTTAGTTCTATTACGAGGTTCGGGGACTGTCTTTGTTAGCCAAGTGAATATACCCCCTGCCCATAGGTTTCAGTCTCTTTATACAACTTGATGTAGCAGAAAAAAATTAGTTACCTCCATGTTGGTACTGGTAGATACACTTTTGGAGCGCCCACCAGTAATCAGTCAAGTGTGGGAATTATGTTTGCCGCCGTAAAGCTCATCACCAATTGCTCATTTGCAGTTTTAACGTCATTAGAGATGTAGTTATAAGTGAAATGATAAGATTAGAGCATAGTTATTTCAGAATGACAATCACCTGGACAGAATGTGAATGATAACATTATGTGTCTAATTGCATTGGACGTATGCTGATATTCTCTAATCTGTTTTATTTCAGAGACTGGAGGCTTCTTGAGAACAAAATATCACCGGATCAAGCAATGGAAAGAATGTTGAAATTCAACAAATGTGATATCGTTGTTTTTAATCCTATGTTTGGATCAGAAATAAATCCACATAATAAGGTACCTAAATTTGTCAAGCAAACATGACATTTGTAAATTTGTTATTTTAATAGTGCGACAAAAAGTAAAATTATGTGCAAGGAGTTTGCTGGGCTGTTTGTTACGTATGGTGGTTGGGGGCGGCATTCTCCACCATCTAGTACATGCATCTGAAACAAATAACTGGCTGACTACCGGTAATCACATATCCGACATGGACTGGTAACGGGACGAGAGGCCGTGGTTTGTCATAATACGATTAAACCCTCTTGTTGACTTTCCTCTTGACCTCTGTGTAGATTGTTTATTCCAGTCGACTACTAAAAAGTGGCACTATGCTTGACTAATATGATAGACTTAGGGCAAAAATATTGAGTTTAAGCCACCACACTAACCAGAAAGTAATTTACTGGAAATGTCGAACCAGAAAGTTTCTGCCCCTTCAAAAATAAAGTGACTCTGTTCACACAGCCTTGTCCAAAATGAAGGCTGGAATATACCCTATTCAAAGTCAGTTCACTCCAGACATATATCTACAAAATTCTTACATCTATGTGTAATTATGAGAATCCATTTGCAAGCTCATGTATATTATATCTGTTCAGGTTGATCTTGTTATAATGAATCCATTCTTTGGACAAGGACCTCCAAGTTATGATCAAATTAAGATACCTGATCGTGAAGATTGGTTTAAAGGAAGAGAACTAAGTGAAGAAAACAGGTGAAATATTGCTCACAGATTTTTGTAGTTTGATGGCTTCTTGTTGGGGAATAGGAATATAATGAATTTTACTCGCAATGTGTTCAAGTGTGTTTAGTGTGTGTGAGTAGTATATGTTTACAATTTTCAAAATAAATGCCCGTTCCCCCTTTTAGTTTTCTAGAATAATCTCTTTCAAATTTTTAGGGGTTGAATGCAAATGTTCTCCAGAATGCTGTTATTACTTTAATTAGCCAGTTATTTGTTTTAGATACAGACCTCATGGGAGAAGAAGCCGTTACTGAACACTGGTTGACCCTATGGCAATTCTCTCTTACATAATCATACCTCTTGTTTTTTTAAAACATTCAGACCTTCCACAGGTTAATCGGATGTGAGATGACAACTGTGTCGTTAACGCTCAGCGAAGTACTTTACCAGTTGAGCCGTGTCGTTAAATCTGGAACAAATTTCTTGTTTTCAATAACAATTTTTCTTTCTAGAGAACTAAGTTGGGTGGATGAGTTTCCATTGCACAGAGCAGCAGCAGATGGTGATCTACAAACTATTGATGAAATTCTTAAAACTGATTCTAGTAGAGCAAGTAACTGGGACCATGATGGTTGGGCTCCTGTACATTATGCTTGCTGGTGAGTAGTCTAGTGTAAGAAATACACAAAATGAAATAAATAGTGTTTCAGAACTTCATATCATAAATCCAACTTGTTGTAAGATCGTCATTCGATTGTTTCTTGTAACTGAACAATGACTAAAAATAATATGTATATTTGTTTTTTTACTATTATTTCCTCTAAAATATGTTTTCATTAATTCCTAGCATTGAGGACGTTAGAGTTATTGGCTCGACTTGTGTTGGGCTCGAGTCACAATTTATCAATCATCTAAATCAGTGTTTTTCAAACATTTAAAGGCGTGCGTAAGTTTCGCACCTCACCTCAAAAATAACTCGCTAACAATAACAGATAGTAAAGCGAAAGTATGTTTTATTGTTAAAATATGTGGATGGAACATAAATAATGAAATAAATGAAAAGTTTCAAAAAAAAAAATGAAGCAGGCAAGATCTAATAATATTGTCTACGCCCCTCTTGTGGGGCGCGTCCAACCGTTTGAGAGCCACTGATCTACATGAGATGATCATCTCATCATCAACTATGGTAATCGCCATTGAGATTAAATTCAGTGATTGATTCAACTTTGGACTCGAACTTGACTCAAGACTCAGGATCAGTTACTTCTAGCAATCACTGCTAATTTCATATTGCCTGCCTATCTTGTTTACTTGATTTCCAACCATTTGAAGTAACCATGTAAAGTTTTTGGGGTTCTCGAACAAATTTTGTGTTTTGGTTTTTGAACTTTCCATAAACATATTGGTCAAAATGATGGATCGTGTCTATAAATATTGTGTTTAATTTTACATTCTTAGTATAATTTTTTATTTATTTCCTATCAAATAATTAATTACCATACTTTTGAGAAAGTGCACATGAATTTTCTTGAAAAAATGTTTTTTGAATGCAGTATAATATATGACACAAACCTATTTTCTTATCTGCCCTTTTCTTATAGGTATGGTAGAACAGATGCCTTCAAACTTCTAGTACAAAAAGATGATAGATGTGATCCTAACTTGAGAAACAGAAATCAGACAAGTCTTCTGCATCTTGCTGCAGGTTGTGGACATCCAGATATTATCAAGATTCTCTTGGATCATCCTTTCATTGACAGAGTAAGTTTTATAATTAGAAAGTTGGGGGAGATTGTCGGTACTGTCATAGTGTGTGTACCAGGTCAGGGTTAGACCTCAATTTTATTTCGATTTTTCTTATTTTAGTTTTATTACTAGTTCGGGACTGTCTGTCTGTCTGCCATGTGAATACCCATAGGTTTCAGTCCCTTTACACAACTTGATGTAAAGTAAGCGAACAAAATTAGTTACCTTCATATTGGTACACGTATTCCTGGAGTGCCAGATTGTCAATAGCCATATCAATACTTTATATTGCATAGATATAGCCTCGGAACAGTTTGATTCAATGGGTAAAAAGTGTCTCACAAAGTTTTTGGAAGTAACGCAGATTACAAAATTTTGCTGTGCTGCAAATGGTTCTGCTCTACAAGAACTCTTGGTCATTAGTAAATGGAATTTGAAGGTTTATGCTGTGTTAGGAAGGTTATACAAACCATAAGAGATCATAACACACTTTAAGTCCCTTTTTTTCTCAAAAATCGATTAGCCGCTTTTTAAGCTGGCTCACCATATGTATGAATCAGGTGGTATTTTTTTCCTTGTTTACTACAATTTAAACGGGAACAAGTACTATTATTTTATTTTGGGCACCCTTCCCGTTGTATGGGTAAATACCCAATCTGAGCAATTTATTGACAGTGTGCTTTATAGTCCATAAAATACGGTCATTTTGGGAAGCTGTCTCAAGCAGGGCTTGGGTGCTTTAATCACAATAGCTCCATCTCCAGAGCCACAGTATGTTCGAACTTGAGCTCCGTTTTTCTCCATGTAATTGGATTCTGATAAAATGAATTGTTTCATGAAAGGTTTATGTACATCACACCAACTCCAAACGTGGGTATGTTGCATACCCTGGGATATTTTGATTTTGTTTTGGTTTTGTAAATAGTGGTTAAAACAAGTTTTGAAGTTCTAATTTTCTCGTGTTGTATGCCAGACAATTTTATGAATCAATATAACTTGCTATGTAAGAGTCATTATTTAAAGAATTTTTTGATTTTCCATAAAGCATGCCGTAGATAAGGAAGGACGAACTGCTCAAGAATGTTGTGAACAGATAAGATCTAGAGATTGGCACAAATGTTCTCAGTTATTGAAAGATGGGATGAACAGACCTTATCAGAAACTAAAAATTCACAAGTGAGTTGCAACTTTTAAATTAATTTTTTAAAATTTGCACCAAATTGAAAATTTGCACGAAGGTGGATTTTCATATTTTGTAGAGTCAATTAGCAAATTATTTGCCTGCAATAAATATTCCCAAACAATTATTCAACATTGAAATTGCCTTCTATAATTATTATTGGGCTCATAACAAAAATTCTTAGTAATGGTGTTCTGTACAATTTTCCTATACCTAATGAACTTGCTAAAAAAAAAATCTTGGAGGGATATTTTTGTTTTTTCATCATAAAGAAGTGCTTTACAAATTGCATTTAATTACTCCTGAGGTCAATGAAAATTCTGAAATGCATATTTCCAGTAACAATATTTGACTTGTTTCTGTGTAAATTTTTCTTTGTGGTATAATTTGTGGCTCATAAATATAAGTAAATTTCTCAAAATTCTCAAACTGCAAAATTAAGGTTGTATTTTTATATGAAATTGTGTGTGATATAGCCTACATGGTGATATCACTGTAAACATTGTCTTCAATAATGGCAACAACCACAATGGAAATTGGTATCCATTCTGGAAATAGCAGTCATCTTGTTGTGGCCTCATGCTGAGAACTGAGATTAATGATTTTGCCAGATCTTTTCACTTAGGACTTGGTAAATAAAATAAGAAAGACTCAATTATCTTTAGAATGGATGGCTCTGAAAAGATTCTTGAACTAAAACATGGAAGCAACACAACAATGCAGGATGTTTTGGATTTGATGGGATTACCTGATGATGTCACAAAATGTTTTACACTGTGGATTGCTTCAAAAAGTTTGCGTAAGTCGCTTTCGTTTTTTTCTCAGCAACAAATGTACAATCTTTTATGGCCGAAGATACTTGTATGTTAAAGGAATGGAGTTGAAGCATTTGCATGATCGCCAAACAGTCATAGTCAAAGATATTAACTCTATAGTGGTCGCTCGTAACGTCTCTCAGAGATCATTCTTCTTCATTTCTGAATGAGAGCGTGTGGCCTTGCTTTGAGCCAATTTGTCTTTTGAAAAAATAGGAATCAAACCTTCGAAATAAATTTTGTTCGGTATAATTCCTATAATTAAAGAATAATTCAAAATATACAGACCCTATTAATAATGATCAATTTGAGCAATTGACATCTGATATGCCGACCTGGTGGACACAATGAATACCTTTATTAAATTTAATAATCGATGTTAAATCATTATTTACCAAGGATAATTTTTATTATGCCAATATTATATAGCAAAATTTCCCATTCAAAGTTTTTTGAAGAATTTCATGTCGTCATTAGGGACAAACAAGTGACTGCTATCTATGTAAAATTGTTTTAAAATTCATTGTCTTCTCTTCAGATCTTCAGCTAAAACCTGAACACAGACCACTTATAGAAATCAAGAAATGGCCGAACGTTTTGCAAAGATTGAGTGGAGTTCGATCATCTGAACTTGTAAAAGAAGTTCCCAAGATTTATTTAAGAAGAGATGCAAAACTTTTGCCGAGTGTCGAAGAAAATGTGAGAAATTTACCGATACTAGATTTCACATATAATAAAGTTTACTCGAAGGTGTTTTTTGTGAGTTACCTGTTGCTTTACTTTTTGTTTTGGGTCAAGGGTTATCTTGGTGCTTGTTTATTCTTACTACGTTGGTATTACAGGCCGAAATTTTCATTTCAAACCCCATACCCACCGCCTTACCCAGTGTACATCAAAATGATTAGGCTGTTAAAATAAAAACAGGGAACATGCTAGGGAATCTTAATAGGCAAGGTAATGAAGCTTTATATAAATGTGGGATATATGACACATATATCTCAGCTTTATGTGTTTAAAGCTTTTTTGATTGATTTTTTCTACCTAGGTAACAGATCACATGGCAATCCTGTTATTGTACGAAGAAGCGAAAGTTCAATTCTTGCAAGGGATGTATCCTTGTTCTGATGAGGTCGCTGTGGCGATGGCTGCCATAACAACCAGAATCACATATGGGCCTTTTGACTCAAAGAAGCATAAAATCTTCACGTATGTTGTTCATAGGAATTCTAGTTTTAGAAATATGTCTATTTTTAATTTTGAAGTCTCTAATACTTACATTATTAAGACTTACTTGGCTTTACAGGTTGTACTAGCTTCCATGGTCGTATTGACTTAACACAGGGGTTCCCAAGCTCTTTTTTCTAAATTCCTCTTTTCGCCTATTTGGGGACTTCTTTTCCTTCCTATGCAATAAAACTACTTTATTTGTTCAATTTTTAATGGATTGTTTGCTAGTGTTATGTGCAAGTCATTTTTTAAGTGCAAATGTGTTCATGAATAAGTTTAATAGTAATAATAATAACTAAAGAATATTAGTGATATAGTGACTACAGCAAATACAAAGCAGAATTCTTCCCTGGAAATGAATTCCTCAATGATTGTAAATAGTTGATTTAACAGCTTCGTGCCTCGCCTCAATCGTTGCTTAATAACAATTTGGCCAAATTATTTTCAGCTCGTCGTTTATCACTTGCAAATTGCAGCTCCTATTTTAATTTGAGTTTTTTCACTTCTGAATGAATTCTCTAATGCAGGGTTTCCCAAACTGGGGTCCGCGTACCGATGGGGGTCCGTGATTACTGCACAGGGGGTCCACGACGGTATTAGGAGTCTGATCAATCTTTAATGACTGATTTAAAGCCATTGCATATTTTTGTTGGAACGTTGCAGATGAAATTGCTGTCAGAAAGGGCAATTAGAAAAACCTACATGTTTGAGGCAGCGTTTTCATCTTTTACCAATTCCATGACAAAATAGAGGTCGGGACTTGCCGTCGAGTCGGACTTACGAGTTTGCTTGTCACAAATTGCTACGACAATTGATGAATTGTGCCGCGAAAACAATCTCATCTAACACATTAATATCGTTCATGTTATTGTAATGTAAATGAAACATTACCATTCCTCGTTAGTTAGACACAGGAATTTATACGGCATAGAATGGGGGTCTGTCAAAAATTAGATTCTAAAACAGGGGTCCGGGGCTCAAAAAGTTTGGGAAACACTGCTCTAATGTGTATGTAAAGAAACCTACTAATGCGATATTTTTGAATTTCAATATTTGAAATTTGATGATTGCGCTTTGAAAACATTGCTGTTATATTCAATACAGATATTATATTGAGTTTGGATATACTAATGACAAAACAAACAGATTGGTTGTTACATAGAAATTGACTTTTCTTCACATTTTACATACTTTTTGTTTCAGTGATACCAATATGACAAAACTTCTCTCTCCTATGAGACTAAGAAATAAAAATGTTAATTGGACGCAGAGAATTATCAATGAATACAAAGAACTCACAGAACAAGGACCCACTGAAATTCATGAACTGCAACTACTCTATATGAGGTAAAGTTTAAAGTTTGAGTCCAATTCAAGTTAAGTCATTGTGGTATCAAAAATTAAACTAATATTTAACCAGATAATGATACCTTTCAACTCGGCATCAACCTAACATATTGGGAGTTTATGCTGCAGAACATATTGACTTTTAAATTTTTTCCAACATTAACAATTGTTTCTATTAAATTTTTTCACTATTTCAAAGACTGACTCGTCTCAAGTCAAGCCCTCTATCTTTAACATGTTAGTCATTTCATTTTAATGACTTGAGTTTCTCAACACTGCTATGGTAACCATATAAATTTGGAGATTTCGGTAGACTCTGGTTCCAGTAGCTTCCTTGCCAAAATTAACCATATTAAAATCTATGATTGCAGTACAGAAATACTTCTAAATGTATCCATTCAATAATAATTCTGATACGTTTTTTTAAAAAATTCGAAAATTGTAGCATTAATTCCGAAACTAACACTGAAACAATTGTTCCCTTTATTTTATCAAACTATTCTGCCTAATATGCTGATAAAAAAGTGAATTTGTTTTATGGCATTTTAAAAACTGGCCAATCAGTAACAAGTAATCTCTACATTTCTACTTTCTTTTTGGTACTTCAGATATTGTTGGACACAAATACCAGCATATGGTTGTGCTTATTTTACTGGTTATGCAACAGCTACAAGACAACAAGGTCCTGATCGACTGCAAAGAATTGTACCTTTGTATATTGGTGTCAATTATCGAGGATTGTTTTTCATAAAAGTTGAAAATCGGGTAGGTACCTTTATTCAAATTTGTGCATATGGTATAGGCCTGGGATACTCAACTTGCAGACACGGTCCGGACACGGACCTTTCATGTATTCAATTCTGTCTGAAATTGGACTATTCGTGTAGGAATTTCATTATAGTGGATTAAAGTGGAATTGTGGTGCTAAATTTTGATATGATTTTGTCACTTATTCTTGGAAGAGCTAGCCAACACTTTGAGAATTCTTTTGCATTCGATCTTACTGCATCAACGTTGTAAGACCTTTTGCAATATCCACCCATGTTTCAGTAAATTAGGTATACTATGAGGAACGAACAACATTTATGTCTTGTCTTATCTCTAAGATGGCTTCTTGTGTAGAATAATAATTTGTATTATTATGGAAATGGAAGAGGTTCCCTCTAGTCTAGTTAACTTTAACTCAGATACCCATCTGAAAACACTTCTGCTTTTTTCTCGTACTGACTTCAAAGATATGATATTTTGTTTACTGTTACAATTGTTTGTACAGGTGTACTTTATTATACTCCTCAAACTATAAATAGTGTAATATATGAATTCTTCTGAGTAGTAAATATTTGCTTAACTATATCTGGACCAACTATAAATTTTCGTTTTTCTCATTACTTGAAAGTCATAAAACAAAATACTTTACTCTCAAAATAATCTAGTCTAGAAAATGGACAATGGATTAAATGTTAATGATATTTTAGATTAAAAATTTTGGATGTAATAAATTAAGTAGGCAATGCAGATTTGGAAATATTACAGATTACAGATATAGCCGTTCCAAACTATAATAGCTTCTTGATTAGATGTGGCAGTTCATATTGTGTACAGAGTCTTGTTCCAAGTTGGGGTCCTATGTGTTATAAAAACGGCATATTACACCAAAAATGGTAGTGCTGACATTTCCTAAAATAGATTGCAAAATTTAAACGATTATATATTTGGAATTCATTCAATCAACTTACCGCAAAATGCGAGTTAATATTCTTCTGTTGTACTATCTTAAAAGACAAATGAACGTAGGAAACCCTGTTTTGATGAGCACTTTTATTCAAATGTATCCAATGAAATGGTCCACCAAACCACTTTGGAGATACTGTGGTATGTTTTGTAAATACGATACATATATATCCTATGGCATTTTGGTCCAGTAATTACAAAAGGCTTTATGTCTATCCTTTTTAAAATGTTAATTAAAGAGAATATATATATTTGCTTGTCATTGCACAAAATATCAAAGATTTTAGCCAATGCTTTGTAATAAACACGAGGTCTAAACGCAGAAATTGGACTATTACACTGACATGTTGAGGTTAACTTGACTGCATTAAAATTATAATGTTATTTCTGTTGTTGGTAAAAAGCCTACTTATCTGTTTATATTTTGATTTTATTGTTGGTCGGTTTGGGTGATCGAAGTATCTTGTGTGTACCAACTTCGTCCAAAGATATAGTTCTCTTGCTGACTTAATCTAGTAATGTAGTTGTTAAAAAAGGGTTATTTATTTTGTTGGTAATATAGTATGGATGCCACAGAGTTGTAAATAAAAGCTCCATGCCGGGCCCTCGTTGAAGATGGATCGCTTATGTGCACGTATTGGGGCGCACTTTCTATTAGGATTGAAATTTTTAAAAAATGAATTATATTCTATTTGCAAAATCTGTGACTTACCATCACATGACTCATATTTAAAAGCCCTTTGCCCGACATAAAAACATTTAGTCCACCTGATAAAGTCATATCTTTACTATAAGGCATTAAACTTTGGTTTGCACTACCTTTGGCAATATCTTTGACATGTTTTACATATTATGCTTGAATCCACTTTAGGCGTAATGTCTAAAAATAATTGTAAATTATCGCCATTTTATTACCAACGGAATATCGTAGATTTTAAAGCCAACCCAAAGCCTACAAAAAGATGATAAACGAATAGTGTGGTCTCCATTTTCCAAATTATTTGTTTGCACTACTTTGGAATGATTGTCTTTGTGGTGTTGGCGCCTGAAGTAAAAAATAATTTATCTAAATAGATTTGAAAATAAAAGCCTACGGCACCCGGTATTCCCAGCCGGTCACCCATGCAAGTACTAACCGAGCCCTACGTTGCTTAACTTCCGAGATCGAACGAGATCGGGTGTATTCAACGTGGTATGGTCGTAGGCGAGAGAGTGCGAGTTGCTTTTATACCGCAGACAGTAAATTATTTCTCTCGAAATGCTGCCCGGTTGCAGCGAAGTCTTCTTGTCTAACGGATCAAATGATTTGAAAAATCCACTAGAGGTCAGATTTGTATAGCGAAGTCCTAAACTCACCTTAAAACTCGTGAAAATATTTAAAAAAATTCATTTGGTAGTGGTGGGTTCTCTCAACCATCACTACCGAAGGTTGCGAGTGTCTCATCGTTTTTGGACACGAAATGGACCTACGGATCGTTTTGTTATCATGTTGTTGTTTTCTTCTCCTTGTTATCCTCTAAAAAATCTCCCATCTTTCATTAATGGACTTGTTAATTGGTTTAAAAATTTTCTGATCTCTACAATTTTTAATTATGGTAACACGTTTTTGTTACGACTGGTACTGTGACAAATTGCTTACCCGTACTACGGCGAATTTTGTGTCCATGTATTTGAGCATCGCTCTATTGTTTTCATAAGATTGTGTAATAGCACAAATCTAAATCCCGATTATCGAGTATCTCATCGTGTTTTCTCGCTTTTACTCTATATCACAGGGTGGAATTACACATGCAGTACATTATGTCTCATCTTTTAAACATCATTCGAAGTTTTAGCGACTTTTTCACGTGATTTACGTCCTGTGTGTGTTTTATATGTTGTAATTATTTTTTTTATCGGAGTTTAAATAATTTATCGTATCCATCTTATGGCAGCTTTTCTAGTACATTGTTTAACAATCGCTGTTCTTAGAAAGGTCTATCCACAACCCACTGTCTCGACCTACTATTGCGTTTTCAATCCTTAGAGTTAACACCTAAAGTACACCTACTGTAATGTATGTTTGTCATCGTCATATTTAATTTGGTGAATACGTGCATATTATAATGTTTTTCGTATGTCAGGGGTAATGAATGTTATTTTGGGAATTTTCCTCCGCGTTCGCTTTATGATGTTTTGCGCGACTCATAATTTGTTTGGGGATATCTACATTGGCATATGATATCACTTTGGTCTCATTAAATTGTAATGTTATTTTGATTCTGTTATTGCATTTTGTCGAAGGAAAAACAACAGTTAAACTACGTAATACTCTTTTGTCACAGTCCCATTTGAAAATAAATTTTAATACCCTATCGGCTATAGCTATATCAACTAAAATGTCTTTATCATAGTGTTCATTAATTTGCCTTTTTTTGGGTTAATCTGAAGACTTTTCTGTATATAATTTCTATTTCGGGATAGATTACATTGGGTAGTAATTTTAGTGTTCGCCTGATACCTGATTCAATAGGAATATATCCATTTATGGTCAGATTTGCGACGGAATCGGTATCGTCGACAGCCGAGTGCGTGAAAGTCAAGTATCATCTCCTGCTTCCCACGTGCTATTGTTGTGTCATAGTAGTACGATTATTTCATCATAAGTAAAATGAGGTCGAGAGTAATGAGGACACTTGGTGGTTGATGTATTTGATTAACATGATTCACACTTCATGGAGAAATGTCGTCTGTCAATTTGCTAATGAGACCAAAACACTTCTAAAATGTTAAACGCTTCCTCGTTACACCTTCGACACATAGAAATTGAGCAATCAAAGAAACAGTATATTGTACTTCAGACTGAATATTCATTCTCTCACGTCTTCAGCCCACCTCGACGGCGTCGTTTACGGGACCCAATTGTGCGCGAAATTGTAGTCTTTAACGATACAGTTACCTCCAATTTATTGAGACCAGCGACAAAAAACGAATGTGATTACACATAGTAACGGGGCTATATTCCATTATAAGGGAATATTTTACACCCGGGCAAAACAAAATAATTCCCTCGACACCCTTCACTTATGAGTATTTCGCTGCTTTGATTCGAGAGAATTTTACTGCTTTATGTGGCATAAAAGCAACAATAACTCACGATCTCTCGCCTACGACCATACCACGTTGAATACACCCGATCTCGTTCGATCTCGGAAGTTAAGGAACGTCGGGCTCGGTTAGTACTTGCATGGGTGACCGGCTGGGAATACCGGGTGCCGTAGACTTTTGTTTTTTCACATAAAATGGACATACGAATCGTTATTATTTCAAATCGTCTCTCCATTTGACAACTAAACCAATCGTTTTCTTATTTTCGATAGCTAAATAAGAGATTTTAAAAAGCTCTTTTCTCATAACTTTCTTGGAATCCTGGACTCAGTTATTTTATCCAAAAATTTTCTGTTATGTCTCCCAAGTTTGGACTACCACTTGTAGATTGTATGTCCATCGATTTTGGCGGACCTTTGTAACGTTTAACGTAGTTGCGGTACCAACAGCTTGTTTATAAATGTGTTTGTTTCAAGACATGATACAGTATCAAGTAAAAAGATTGACACTATGTAAAAGAAATACGGTCTTTGTCGCGACAATGTTATTATAGATTGCTTCGCTAAGATTTTTGGCGCTTTCAATGATTTGTTTCCAGCAAAAATATTTCTCTAACTGATAAAAACTCACAATTTTAAAATCACCTACAAACTAGTATAATTTAATGCCGGTGCGAAGATGCAAATAAACCCATGGATTCAGAATGTTCGTTTCATTTGTGGATTTCAAAATACATGTATACATATTTTGTATAACGGAACCGCATCTACTGACTGTAGTCTATTATCAAACATCCGTCACTGTGGCGCGAACTTCGAACCCATAGGACCGTGTTTCCCTGAAAATAAGACCTAGCCTGAATTTCAAAAATAATTCTAATATAAGCCCTCCCTCCACTTAAAATAAGATCCAGTCAAATACCGCGAATTTTTTTGTTACCTAGTCGATAGCAAGAAATCTCTACTACACGTTTCAAATGATTGATAATTATCATAATCTATGTTTTGCAGTTATTTCGAATAAAAACGTGTTATTTATAAGTAAATGAATATCGATTTACGTATATTTGCAAATCTCGTAATTTTCTACTTTGTAATTTTGTTTTTGATAAATGAAATAAAAGACATCCCCTGAAAATAACGACTAGTGTTTATTTTTGAAAGAAAATTGAAATAAGACACTGTCTATATACATTTTTTGTATAACGAAACCGCATCTCACGACTGTAGTCTGTTATCAAGCATCCGCCGTGCTAACTGTGAACCCATAGTGTATGTATGCATCAGTATCACGTCTCGATTGTTATTATTGCTATCTGCTCCTTTTGAATTCGCTGTGCACTTGGGTTAGGCGTAAAATGTTTACGCCGCTTCCATGATATTTTGTTTTGGTGAAAATGTAAGATATAGAATGCCTTGACAAATTTATTATCCTGTTTATCGCACACTTTCTTTCATGTGTTATCACAAGCTTATAGTCCGGTTGGATCGAGTATAAACGCCATTTTACTTTTTTGCGCAGTACTGTTTTTTGAGCTTTGCACGTTCCAAGTTTTACTTAATTTCTCGTCGCTTTTCCGAATTTCACGTTCGTTGTGGTGGAAAATCGAAATATATTTACATATTTTCTAGTCGAATGATTCACGTATTGTATTTCTCAAACTAAACTACTTTGGTTAAACGTATTCGTTTTTTTATTTCATCTAAATCATAATCTCTCCACAGGCACTTCTGGTATACGTCAGTTATCATTCGTTGTCATGGGAACTGGTCGAGGAAGAAGAAATCTTTCGAATCAGCGCTAACAACGATAAAATAGCGATGATAATCCACACACCCCAGGCTGCACTCGTGTGTACTCTCATGTCGAAATTGAGCGTCGGTGTTGGATAACGAGAATTGGATCTAAAAAAATGATGATGATTATAACAATTATTTGCGAATCAATGAAGGCCAGGTTCAAAGTTCACGGATATCTTACACTACGTTTTTATATGCCCTCCAACCCGAACAAGGCTCTGTATAAGCAATACCTGTGGCTAATAAGCTTCTTATTTTAGCAGGACAGGAATCTTGGCGATTCGGCTTTGTCTACCAACTACAATACGCCATGGGCGAGGAGTCGAGAGTTATTTTATTTGTCATTTTAGCAATCAAAAGGTTTCAACATAACGTTGGTCTAGTCCAGCGTTTCCCAAACTGTTTTCCGCGGAACAGTAGTGTTCCGCGAGCGTCTTCGAAGTGTTCCGTGGAAAAGAAATCAAAAATACGTCCAAAAGGGTCGCCCAACTGACCGTTCGATGTAGCGTCAGTGGCATTTTCGTTAACCGTCGGGTCTAGCTTTTTGACTGTAAAGTTCATTATCAAGTTTACAGCAATCCTTCTGGTTTTGCTATCGTCAAACAAGGAGGTCTAAAGAATAGATGTTCAGATGGTAAACTCTTTATCCTTCATCTCTGCCTGGTTTTACTTTGGAATGCTGAAAAATTTACTCATTTTCGCTAAACTCTATTCAGTAGAAAAATAAACTGCAGGGCTGCAGCTCGCGAAATTGCGACAAATAATCTACTTTTATCTCTATTTGACGTAAGATTAGAGGCAAACACTACCGGTACGCAATGGAAAGTAAACGACATAGGATGGTAAAATAAATGAATTGTTTCATATACACAACGCTAAAATTGAGAAACATTTATAATAAATGCAATATGTAAAATATTCAATCATATTTTAGGTATGTTTAACACAATTATGTTAGTTTTCGCGCATTTGGAAACTCCCCACGAGAACTCATTGGGAACCGCAAAATGACACCCTTTTTCTTCATCAATTTTACCCATTCCTTTTTTGGTGTTCCGCGAGGCGAGATATAAAGTGTAAGTGTTCCGTGGCCAAAAAAGTTTGGAAAACGCCGGTCTAGTCTATCCAATATGCCATAGGTTCTCAGAGTGCCTCATACGGAGCCCCAGGGCTCCCATGGAAAAAAAAAATAGTTGCTGCGTCAGATTTTTGTTTACTTATCAAAATACTGACTCCCCTAATTTTGTAACTGTCCAAACAAGCAATAACGGCATTAATAAAATTTGACAACGGTATCGTCGAAACGGGACAACAAGGCGGTGATTCAAATATGACATTATCTATAAGTTTCAATGGATTTTCGATCATTCAATTACCGCTTTTTGTCTCATTTCGACTCTACTTTATCGATATGTTTGTCAAGTGTCAAACTTAATACTCGGTACGTGAATAATGGTCAATCCCCTCACGTGCTTCATAGAAATAACACGAAAAGTTTGAGAACCCCCGCCATTAGGCCATCGCACAGACAGAAAGCATAGCTAAATTACAATGGTGAAGCGGAGAATTAACTGGTAAAAATGGTTCAATATTTTAGTTATAGTAATTTAAAATTTGACAACTTTGTTTCAATCCACCTCTGCCCAAGTTTAACAAATTGGTGAGGCCGCAAAATGAGCTGTGATCTGACTGTTTTGAAATAAATCGTGACGAACACCACAATTTTTTCATTTCAAGTACATCTTTTTGTACCCAAATGGATTTTATTTTGTTATTGTATTTTCAGCTGCTATTGAACTATTTTAGCAAACTTATTTTTTTCTTTATAATGATGTATTTTGAGTTTTTTTATACTTTTCGTTACCTTTATTATGTGACATTGCAATAAACATATTATCAAGACTTGTTTGAAGAATGTATTATTTAAATCTGGGGTGTGCAACATTTTTTGTCGGTGAGCCATATAACCATCCTCGGACATCTAGCTGAGCAACATGGAAAGAAAAGAATGCAGCTATCGCTCATTCTTCAGTAATAAAGGCATCGGACTAAACAGCGAAAGATTTAACGCAACAAAGTCAGCAGAAGGTGTGTATTTTTACCCAAGTGAGCGACTTATCAAACATTAACTGTCAGATCAGGATTTTATGCTTGGTGGGAAAAATGTGTTGACAAGGGCCACACTAAAAGGCTTAGCGGGCCGGGTTGTGACCCCTGATTTAAATCATAAGCTTGAAGTTCACATTATAAAATGTGGAGTAGAATAATCTTAACGTTAACGTACCTACTATAGTAAGAATACGCCGTAACATCACCCAGTCAGCTTCAGATTTTTGGTTCGCAATAGGGGGAAGTTGGTGCCCTGACACATTTTCGCACTACTTGTGTAGGCTACTAGCACTGTGAATAGTAATTGCACTTTCGTGTCCATATATTTTATGTTTGCTTTCTTGTTTAGTTTGGTTTATTCGCTGATGAAATGCGGTTGACTTTAAATCTAATCTGGCCATTTACAAATTAAATATATAGAGGATAGATTAACATCGAAACACATCTATCATGTTAGATAGCTCTTACACCAAATGAGAACGAGAATCGAGTTTTTGTGGATTTGTTCGAGCTTGCCACTAGTGACGCGAGAGAGTCGAAAGTTTGAATGGAAGAAATGCCGTGCATTGCCGAGTCGGTAGTTTCAAAGCTCCTTTGCAAAACCAAAGTTCCGCAACTTCATTCGTGGTATGCGTTATGGACTAAAAATAACTTTTGAATCGCTAGACGTGTTAGTCTAGTTAACCATGCAAATATATAAAGGCTTGAACTGTTTCAGAAATGGAAATCATCCATGAATACGTGTGGTTTAAACTTTACTACATGGGATCAAGGAATATGCATTTAAAGTCATAAAGTAACATATTCCGAATACTATATTGAGTTTGGCAGAGATACAAGTCATCTTGTCATGGGAGGCTTACTACTCAAAAATTGTACTGGCATCTTTTCAAGTTCTAATTAAGACAGCAAAGCTAAATTTTTAAATTTTGTCACAATAGTATATTTAAAAAATCATTCGGACCTCCTGATGTATGCGCACCATGATGGCGCACAACCTTAACTCAGGTTGTCTACCAGGTTAGAGTTCAGGTTATGCGACATCTTAGTGCGCATACTTCAGGAGTACCAATTATTCAAATGTTGACTTTTTAATCATGAAATTAAATATCGCTTTCAAGCAGCGTGAATAGAAGTAAAATCCATCTCTTCTCACATAATAATATTTCATATCATGCCACATATATCAAGTGCTTTTGTTAACGGGATACATATTTATATCACGCAAAAGTTATTGCAATCTCGTGCAAATTCCCCATCTTTCACGATCCTGATAAATATCTTAAATTATAAACTGTCAAAATATCTTTCGTCACCTGGCTGTTCCATGCCACGAAAGCTTTTCAGTGCCACAACACGAATAAATTACATATGAGCTTTGTAACAACTTCTTTTCGTATTGAGTGATCCGTATCTCCTGACCCTAAGGAGTGGTGTCAAGTAAAGTCACTGATATTCATCAATTCGTGGAATTCTACGAATTCTGAAAAGCTGCTTTGAGGAAATTTTCTAGAAGTATTTTTTTTTCTATTCATAAATTATAAAGGATATCAACTGAGGGATCGACACTTGTTTTTGCAGTTAAATCAGTAAGAAACCCACTGGTGGGTTTAGTGCATTACCAAAATTGAATAATACAAGCTTCCGTCGGGTACAAAACTCCATCTATATCAAATTGATTGTATTTTAACATATTGGAAAGATGGCTAAATTTTATCATATGTTCAAATAGTTTTTTTTTGTACATAAGAATAATATTGAGTCCCGAGCATTCACATTTGTCAATATACTTTTAAACGAGATTACCGATAAATTGCTTAAAATTTTACCATTATTTCAACAGTCAAATTCAACATACCACTCCCTTTGTATATAACTAACACTTTTGGAATGGATAACAAAGTCTATATCTACAGGGTGAACGCCCGATTTTATAGTAAGTATAGTAAAATTGTAAGTTTAAATAAATTTTATGATATGATAAATTAGGACTACAAGCACGATATTATTGTTGTTACTATAAAATCGGGAGAACTTTTTTGGACATCCTGATATATATTGTATATGCGAGCATTGGTGGCAATTATTTGGTTGTAAACTTTTTGTTTTGTTTTGATTCGGTTTGGTCGTCAAAAAACCTGTAGTATTATTTATTTTATTTTTCGTCTTACCGGTGGAATTTGCGTACAAACAATAGCTCGCATTGGCGATCGCTTCGCAGAAATTCACAACCATGTAATCCTGTAGCACAGAAACAGATATCATCATTCCTCACGAGTGACTTAAAACTAAACATCCGCGACGAATCAGATATGGCCATACATAAAGTCTACATTCAGGTTCCGTCGTCTCTGAGACAAGCATATCCAAGCATGATCCAATTTCGATTTAAATCACTTGTGAGTAAGCCTTAGAATTTAGCGTAGGCTGCCTTTTTCGTTTTTTAAACAATGAAATAATTCACTAGTCTATTTTTGTCGCCTATATATACTGCGCGAGGTGGTATTCAGAGCTCATTTCGTTTTTCACAGCTGTGTGAATCACTAGTCGTGAAGATACCATCCTTTCATAAATTAACTCATTCATGTGTAATTCATCCATGGTTTGGGCTTGTATTTGTTTTCCAGGAAACGTGATCTCGTTTCCGAGTGACGCACGGTCACCACGCACGCACGCACGAAGACGCAACATTATCATGGGGAATTCAAATGGCTCATAATTAAAGCGCGCAAACCTGATAATACGCAATAGAAGATTCTTGAGTTCGTTTCCAGTTTGACATCTGTAATTTATATATCCGGCCGAAACAAAGTTCAAAAAAAAATATTCTGAGGTCAAAAATCAGTAGTAGTAATTAGACTTTTGATAAATTTCTATGAATAAGCCATTTTCATTTCCTATGGATAAATATTAATATCATCCCTTATTTCATATAACCACAGATTTACTATTGCGAAACATATTATATAAACACAAGGGGTCGCTAAGTAATCCTAATAAAACAATTGCAATTCATAAAATATGTACGCGAGAGCTCCTTTTATGTTAGAATATCCTTTATGCTTGTTACCACAATATATTCACTTCTTTCGAGTTGTATCTGGTGTAGTCTATTATTATTTTTGGACCCCATGTTCTAACGACGTTTTAAACGACCTGTGCTATTTCACGAAAACAAACCGAAATATTTTGTTCTTTCACATTGTGATTAGGAATCACGACAAGAAGCCTCACATTTATTATTTACAGCATTTTCGAGTAAGTCGGATAGTGATTCGGACAGTATTGTATAAAGGATCATTAGATAGCCTATACTTTAACACTAATTCCCGATACGAATATGTAAAACAATATCTGATTGCTGTTTAATGCCTTTAATCGCCAATATTTATAATCTATTTTGCTTTTATAGGTTCTGATTGCCCCCCATAAGCGGAAAGTCCAAATTTCATGTACAGACTTAGTTACCTCGCTTTCGAAACCAATATTCCCAGACAGTGACACGTTTTGGCATTTCATTTCCATTCAGAAATTTGGCTTCTCAGAAGACAGAGTTAAAATTAGTCACAAAATATGTCGCCGGTATAAAACCATCTAAGCCAGGAATATTGTGAACATTAATACATCAACCAAGTAAGCGAACACATCATGAACTGAAAATGTCATTGATATTGAAATCAAAACAAATTCATTGTGAATTAGTATAAATTGTAGGATAATTCGAATCAATTTTACTTGTTATTAATAGTATTTCCTTTTCAACTTTTGGAATGGTATAAATATGAAAGACAGTGTTATATAAGATGATTATTATATTCGTGTGTGGTCACGCAAGCACAATGTACATCATATAATCTGGTTCTGGCATTTCACGAGTGATAGATAATTTGACCAGTACGACAGCATATTTCGAAGATGTAAATTCTTCGTCCCTGACCTACCATTCGTGACGTAAAAATGCCATTTTTGTGTTTTCATTTGTACTATCTAATCTGTCCATTTTCAATGTGATGTTTCCATACTTTGGTTTTGCAGTAAAAAATCACCATTATTTATATATGGAACAGCTTCTCGATGAGTTGTTTTCCATCCTTGACAAAGCTGACACTCACGGACTAAACTGGAGTTCTGAATCACTTTTAAACTTTCCGATCTAATTTGCTAAACCTAGCTAAGGTGGTATGGTGCTACCTACTGATTTCAACGAGACTTGAACTAGTAATCTTTAACCTGGGATATGAACAGACGATAACTCGTGGGACTATCATTTAATTAACTATGAAAAGTGTGAAAATTTCCGTTTAGCCGTAGTCATCAATTGAATAAGTGTTGTCACAGTATGTAATACGTTTATCACCTTCTTAAGATGAACTTTTAGCCTTCCGATTTACTGCTGCGTTGTAAGTAGTAATTGGCTATTCAAAAAGGTTGAATGCATCATGAACAGAGGGAATTAGTGTGGTGGCCCCTTGAAACTTTGCTGATAAGCGATAACCACGTGATTATAAATCAAAGGCGAGTGGTCAGATTTAGCTTATTATCAGCTAAAAGAATTTAAACATTAAAGTACGTGTGGACTGAAATAAAGACGGTGTTCAACACACCCACACGATGCGAATTGTAATAGTACCGCATTATTATTATCCGTTAGTCCATTATATCAAACTTTTTTCGTTCATTTATTTGCTTTGCACATCCCATGGAGCAATGGGTTTTACAAAAATCAAATTTTGGTGTTTTAACTTTTCATATATAGCCAAAAAGTTTTATCTGGCTAATGTTTATTTTATGATAATC